CTGCTCGCTACACCGACAACAATGTTAACGCCGGCACCAACAACGAGGCCATTCACCACGTTCTTGGTCTTCTCGCGGCGCTCCAGCGTGGCAATGGCGCCGATCCCGCACCGCCACCGGAACCAGCACGCGTCGCAGCGACGGTGGCCCCACGCTCTCGCCTCCCGGCGCCCGCCCCCGAGCCCGTTGACGACGAAATGGACGAGGAAGCACCCCATGCCACGCTCGACGAAGGTAATGCCGCCCGCCCGAAATCCGCTTCTGCATCGCTCACCCTCGCTCCTATTCCACCTGCACGTCCTCAGTTGCGCTCTTCCTTAGTTAAAAGCGATGGAATTCGTACGCAACTTTTTAGTTTTGAGCGCATTCAAGCTATTGCACGTCATGCTATCTCGGTTTTACCACTTGACGGTGGAGAACAAGCCGCCGACTATCTCCAGCAGATAGTAGAGGAGGCGGAAGAGAAGATTCATTTTTTGTTTACCGCCGATCAACGCGGTTTCGAAGTGGCCAATATGGCCCTTAAGATTAAGTATGGGGAAGTGGTAGAGGATAAGAATGTGAAGGCCGCTTCTCAGATTGTAGCGGCCAGCAAGAAGAGGCCCACTCGGCCCACCCATCCCACCTCCCGTCCTGAACCCCCTCTTCGCCCTCGCGGCCAAGGGGAGCGCCTTTGGAACACATGGCGTAGGGACGGCGACGGCCGTTGTTTCTATTGCCGTGAACCCGGGCATGGGATGGCTAATTGCCCCCAAAGGGGCCAAGGGGCCAATCGGCCAGCTAAGATTGTGTAAAGTTTGCTTAACCTCTCCGATGTTGTAGCGTTCTTAATTAAAAAAAAAAAAAAAAAACACACACACGCACATTTGTGCATTCAAGCAAGATTAATACGCGCGTCATACGGCCACATGGTCTTGCACGTTGGGCCCGTGCAAGAAGACGTGAGCGTGCCCACAAGACGCATACACAATGTGTGTGCGTCCTTTAAAGACTGACGTTGATAAGATTCATCACAAGATTTCTATGTCCATCGCAAAAAAAAAAAAAAAAAAAAAAAAAAAAACCGTATGCTCGCAAAACGATTGCGTAGCATTTGCGCAAATGCTTTGCAAACGTTTTGCGAACATGTGGGTGAACACTCCTGGCGGACTAAGATTAGAACACTTGGCGAATGCTTTGGCAACATTTCCCGAAACACTTTTTGGTTCACGACAAGGAATATATGACGACCAACTACAGCCCAAAATGCCAAGTTCACATTCCCAACCCATAGTTTATCACTTAAGGGATGACGTGGCCGAATAATAGCGAGCAAGCGGGCACCTATATCTAGCGTTTGCCTTCCTTCCAAAAAAAAAAAAAAAAAAAAAAAAAAAAAAATCGTTGCGTTCGGAACTACATGAGGTACCTTCCTGATTCTCTACCGTCCCTATTTGTGTTCCCTCTCCTACCAGAGCTCGGAACCATTTCGGCCTATGCCGATGACGCAACCAAGATTACCCGCATGCAAGGCCGCCTCCGTGACCGCGCTGCATGGTGGTCCGCCTGGTGCGACAGCCGCTTGATTCTATCGGTGATTACATCTGGATATCGCCTACCATGGGTTGCCTCTGAGCCCCCTCCGTCTCGTACTAAGAACCATGCCGGTGCTTTGCAATTCACCTCTTTCGCCGTAGGCGCAGTGGCCGAGCTTCTCGCCACCGGCGCAGCTCGGGTCGTTCCTCCTTCCACAACCCTCACATGCGTTAGCCCCTTAAACGTGATTGTCCAACCCTCAAAAAAGAGACTGATATTGGATTTGCGGCATGTCAACTCATTCCTCTCAGTACCCTCGTTTTCGATACGAAGGACTTACTCGCGTTCCTGATTTGGTGCAAGAAGGCGATTGGCTATTCACGATCGATCTCAAATCTGGATACCACCACGTCGACATTCACCCCGCTTTCTGGCAGTTTCTCGGATTCTCCTTGCAAGGGCAGGACTACCAATTCCTCTCTTTGCCTTTCGGGCTGGCTACAGCGCCGTTTGTGTTTACCCAGTTAATTAAGCAACTCGCCAAACGCTGGCGTAGCCGTGGCATCCGCCTTATTCCATACGTCGATGATATCCTATTCATCAGTGCCACTCGAGCGGAGGCTCTTCACAACCGCTCCATAATCATTGCCGACCTCGCAGCCGCGGGCTTTGTTGTGAATTTCAAAAAATCACAACTCGCACCGGCACAATCTTTGAAGTTCTTGGGCCTCTTGCTGGACACGCGCACCACCACTTTCTCGGTCGATGCGGATCGGCGCAACCGGCTTTTTGCCGAGCTGGATGAATTAGGCACACTCGGCACTAACGGGCGTCGCATCCCTGTTCGCCGCGCTGCCCGCATCACCGGCATGTTGGCCTCCATGTCCTTGGCGCTTGGCACTGTCGCGCGCGCTTTCTCCCACCACCTTCTTACGCAGATCGCCGAATGCCACTCATGGGGGGCGGCCATTCTCCTCACCCCTGAGTCTGTTGAAGAACTGCGATTTTGGCTTACACAGTTCGACGTTTTCAACGGCGCCCGCTTCCACAACCCGCATTTGTACGACGTGGTCATGTACGTGGATGCTAGCGACCATGCTTGGGGGGCTTGTTATTCAGCGCCGGATGGTCGTGTCGGCTCGCTCTCCTCCCCGCTGCCTCTAGCCCTCTTGGGCTCGTCCAGTACCCTTCGCGAGCTGGCCGGAATCTTTTGGTCCCTTTCGGCCTTTTCTGTCGAAATCCGACGTTCGCACATCTTGCTCCGCAGCGACAGTCAGGCGGCCTACTACATCCTCCAGAAGGGAGGCTCTCGCCGTCCCGAGCTTACCTTCGTATGCCGCGCGATTATTCAATTGTGCGTGCGCCATATGATCCGTCTTACGGTCCAATGGATTCCCCGTGCGCTGAATACCGAGGCTGACGCTCTGTCCAAGATTGGGCTCCACGACGACTACTCCTTGACACGACCTTGGTTCCGGCTGCTTGAGAGGCATTGGGGGCCTCATACTATCGACTTGTTCGCATCCCCTGCCAATGCGCAGCTCGCTCGTTTCTGCTCCCTCGAGTTCTCACACTCTGCGGTTGCGCAAGACGCTTTTTCTATCAATTGGGGCCACGAGAATTGCTTCGCCTTTCCTCCACCCACCCTCATCCCGGCTGTCCTAGCTCATGCCCGTCGCTCGCGCACTTCTCTCACTCTCGTGATCCCATATTGGCCCAGTGCCTTTTGGTGGCCTTTGCTAAGCTTGGACGGCTCCACTTGGGGCCCGGAGGTCGTTATGGCCCTTCGCCTTACCCTTGGTGCTAGTTGTTTACGCGTTGGCAGTGACCGTCATGCCTTTAGCGGTGCTGGTCTTCCGAACTCTCCGATGTATGCGCTTCGTTTTGCATTCAACTAATGTATCAATTTATTTCACTGCGCAGGCTCATATATTGGTCGATTATTGTCGGACCTTCTCACACTCACCGTTGATCTTCGGGCGAAGTCTACCCTTCGCACTTACGAACCCTACTGGCGACAGTTTCGAGCCTTCTGTTTGGCGCACTCACTTCCCTTCCTTCCCGCCACCGACCTGACAGCGTCCCTCTTTCTGCTGCACTCGGTCCGTCGCGGCGCTACTGTCTCAGCTGTGCGCACTGCGTGTTCCGCCATATCCTGCGCCCATTGGCTGGTTGGCCACCCCTCCCCGATTCGCGGCCCCTTTTCTTCGCAAGTCAAGGATTATGCCATGCGTCATTGTGGCAAGCCATCTCAAGCTAAGGAGCCCATTCCTCCAGCCAAGATTTACGATATCTGTGACATCTACTTCTCATCGCATGATCCGGCCACATTCCAGCGGGGCCTTATTCCCCTCCTCATGTTCGCAGCCTTCCTTCGTTTCTCTGATCTCGTCTCCCTCCAGTGGCACCAGATCGAGTTCGATCGGGACTGCATGTGGTTGTTCATCCCTCGTTCGAAGACCGACCAAGCTGGCACCGGTGTTTGGGTCCCAGTGGCTGCTTCTTCTGCCCGCCACTGTCCGGTGTCGCGTGTCCAACAATTCCTCTTCCTGGCTGGCTATTCTCCGCGGACCCTTGGCCCCCTTATTCGTATATTTCAGCCGGGTGCCCGAGCTTCCCCCTCAGATCGCTCTCCCTCGTACGCCGCCATTCGGGGTTGGTGTCGAGATGCTTTCTCCCGTGTAGGCCTTAACCCGGCCCTCCTGGGCACCCATTCTTTCCGCAAGGCGGCTGCGACGGTCGCCGTTGATATTGGAGTCCCCGACCGGCTTTTCAAGGCCCTAGGTCGCTGGCGAAGTGATACAGCCAAGGAGCTTTACATTACTCAGCTTGACCGCGAGCTAGTGGCTGCTTCTCGCGCGCTACAAGATCCTACTCGCTCGAGCGCGACCGATCAATACCAGGCCACCCTCGAGCGCCACCGCCGACGACCTACCACTTGATGTCTCGTTTGACCTATGACGACTGCACTGCACACTCCTCTGAGGTCGTGTCACAATATGAGAAATTTTTTTGTAGTAAAAAATTTACAGATTGTGATTCGACTAGAAGAGGAGTTTGCTGTAAAGGAGACAAACTCCTTCATCTATCGGCAGGTCTTTCAGACCTGCCACCTAGTCTCATTTGCATTTTTCTGTTCCAACTTGCCCACCCTTCCCTCCCATGCTTTGATAACTAGCATGGCCTGCTCACCCTTGTTCCCTTGCCATGTATTTGCCCTATCTAGTGTGCTGTACTATGGAGCTATGATATGCTATGACGACTGCACTGCACACTCCTCTGAGGTCGTGTCACAATCTACTGTAGGGGGTACAACCCCCTCCCTGTATCCCTCTCTTCTACTCTCATTCCCTTTTCTCGCATAACTTCTCTCACCTAAACCCTCACACCATTTTCATGGCTTCCTAGCTACCTAGCTCTCGTGACAGACTTTCTGTGAACTAGCTTCTCAAACCTATTCTGGTGGCATTGATAGGTTGTGAAAAGACTCACAAGCTACAGGGCATTTGGACAAATTGCATATCAAGGTGGTGCAAAACATACGTATGACACATTTATTGGCTCAGTCTCGGAGCTGACTAACAGATATTCAGGCAATTAGGGCTCTTATGTTGATTGCAATCAAGGTGCAGCGCAGCGCTTCCTTCGTGTCCATCACGGCTGCTTGCTAAGGTTGCGCGACTTGCAGAACACTGTGGGATTCGCTTAGAGGCGAGAATCTGGGCGGGGAGATGAGGCGTTAAGCGGTCAACCGCACTACTTGCGCCACGCGAGGTCAGTGCGCGCGTGACAGAGGTCAGTGTGCGCGTGACACGCGCCTTCCTTCCCAGCGTGCATGCAGTGTCATGCGTAGTGCGGCACCGGCAGAAACGGGAAGGGAGCAGCTGAGTAATACGCCACAGGGGGCAAACTCGCCCTCCTCCTGCCTTCACCCTCTTCTCGCACCTCGGCCTCCTCCCAACCCCTCCTCCCCCCCACCACCTCTTGTGCCCCCTGCCCTCTTTGTGCTGGCCCCCCTACACCTCCCTCACCTGCACCTCCCACAGCTGCAGTGGCGTGCGCAGGGAGTGGCGCATGGGTGAGTGTGGGGGCATGGGCGTGGTGTGCGTGGTGCGCGGGTTGCGGGAGGCGGTGCAGCAGCATGGCGGCCATGACGGCCGGTAGGTACAGCAGGCTGGCGCGAAAGAGGCGGCGCGCCGACGCGGAGGACGGGTCGCGGTAGAAGGGCAGCGCGGCCGCGGTGTAGGCCCCCGTTAGAAGCACGTTCTCCCACAGGAACGGCATGGTGGTGCAGCCAACTGGCAGGGAGAGAGGGGATTGGGAGGGAGGGCGAGCGGCACAGAGAGAAAGGGAAGAGGGGGAGTGGGGAAGCGGGGCATGCCGACCACGGCTGGGGGAAGGAGTTGGGGAGAGTGGGAGTGGGAAAGTGCAAAGAGCTAGATGGCGCGAGCAGAGAGAGGGACACATGAAAAGCATGGCTAGGCGGGAAGGATGCGGGAGCAGGGCAGGGCAAGGAGGGGCAGCATGACTAGATGATGGAATAGAGGGGCACGCAGGAGACAAGAATCCAAGGGAAAAGTGGGGCATGGGCAATGGGGCATGAGCAATGGGGCATGGGCGATGGGGCATGGGCGATGGGGCATGGTCGATGGGGCATGGGCGATGGGGCATGAGCAATGGGGCATGGGCAATGGGGCATGGGCGATTGGGCATGGGCGATGGGGCATGAGCAATGGGGCATGGGCGATGGGGCATGGGCGATGGGGCATGGGCGATGGAGCATGGTCGATGGGGCATGGTTGATGGGGCAAGGGCGATGGGGCAAGGGCGATGGGGCATGGGCGATGGGGCAAGGGCGATGAGGCATGGGCGATGGGGAAAGGGCGATGGGGCAAGGGCGATGGGGCAAGGGCGACGGGGCATGGGCGATGGGGCAGGTGGGCCCTTTGAGTGCGTACGCGCGACGGCAGCCAGCCCCAGCGGCAGCAGGTAGCCGCAGTTGCGCAGTGCCGCTGCCGCCGTGCGCCGCCCAGAGGGATCCGCCAGAGACAGCATGCGGTAGCTGGGGGGGGAGGGGGAGGGGGGGCGGGGCGGGGGGGAGAGAGGGGAAGGCGAAGCAGGAGAAGAAGGGGGTGAGGGGATGCAGTGAAGGGCGTGAGGGGATGCAGTGAAGGGCGTGAGGGGATGCAGTGAAGGGCGTGAGGGGATGCAGTGAAGGGCGTGAGGGGATGCAGTGAAGGGCGTGAGGGGATGCAGTGAAGGGCGTGAGGGGATGCAGTGAAGGGCGTGAGGGGATGCAGTGAAGGGCGTGAGGGGATGCAGTGAAGGGCGTGAGGGGATGCAGTGAAGGGCGTGAGGGGATGCAGTGAAGGGCGTGAGGGGATGCAGTGAAGGGCGTGAGGGGATGCAGTGAAGGGCGTGAGGGGATGCAGTGAAGGGCGTGAGGGGATGCAGTGAAGGGCGTGAGGGGATGCAGTGAAGGGCGTGAGGGGATGCAGTGAAGGGCGTGAGGGGATGCAGTGAAGGGCGTGAGGGGATGCAGTGAAGGGCGTGAGGGGATGCAGTGAAGGGCGTGAGGGGATGCAGTGAAGGGCGTGAGGGGATGCAGTGAAGGGCGTGAGGGGATGCAGTGAAGGGCGTGAGGGGATGCAGTGAAGGGCGTGAGGGGATGCAGTGAAGGGCGTGAGGGGATGCAGTGAAGGGCGTGAGGGGATGCAGTGAAGGGCGTGAGGGGATGCAGTGAAGGGCGTGAGGGGATGCAGTGAAGGGCGTGAGGGGATGCAGTGAAGGGCGTGAGGGGATGCAGTGAAGGGCGTGAGGGGATGCAGTGAAGGGCGTGAGGGGATGCAGTGAAGGGCGTGAGGGGATGCAGTGAAGGGCGTGAGGGGATGCAGTGAAGGGCGTGAGGGGGGGGGGGATGCAGTGAAGGGCGTGAGGGGATGCAGTGAAGGGCGTGAGGGGATGCAGTGAAGGGCGTGAGGGGATGCAGTGAAGGGCGTGAGGGGATGCAGTGAAGGGCGTGAGGGGATGCAGTGAAGGGCGTGAGGGGATGCAGTGAAGGGCGTGAGGGGATGCAGTGAAGGGCGTGAGGGGATGCAGTGAAGGGCGTGAGGGGATGCAGTGAAGGGCGTGAGGGGATGCAGTGAAGGGCGTGAGGGGATGCAGTGAAGGGCGTGAGGGGATGCAGTGAAGGGCGTGAGGGGATGCAGTGAAGGGCGTGAGGGGATGCAGTGAAGGGCGTGAGGGGATGCAGTGAAGGGGGGGGGGCGGGGGGGGGGATGCAGTGAAGGGCGTGAGGGGATGCAGTGAAGGGCGTGAGGGGATGCAGTGAAGGGCGTGAGGGGATGCAGTGAAGGGCGTGAGGGGATGCAGTGAAGGGCGTGAGGGGATGCAGTGAAGGGCGTGAGGGGATGCAGTGAAGGGCGTGAGGGGATGCAGTGAAGGGCGTGAGGGGATGCAGTGAAGGGCGTGAGGGGATGCAGTGAAGGGCGTGAGGGGATGCAGTGAAGGGCGTGAGGGGATGCAGTGAAGGGCGTGAGGGGATGCAGTGAAGGGCGTGAGGGGATGCAGTGAAGGGCGTGAGGGGATGCAGTGAAGGGCGTGAGGGGATGCAGTGAAGGGCGTGAGGGGATGCAGTGAAGGGCGTGAGGGGATGCAGTGAAGGGCGTGAGGGGATGCAGTGAAGGGCGTGAGGGGATGCAGTGAAGGGCGTGAGGGGATGCAGTGAAGGGCGTGAGGGGATGCAGTGAAGGGCGTGAGGGGATGCAGTGAAGGGCGTGAGGGGATGCAGTGAAGGGCGTGAGGAAGCACGAGAATATTAACAAAGATCAAGAGGGAAGAGAGCATAGGGTCAGGAACACGCCCTGTACAGCCCAGCATGTGTCTATTAAACCACACACCACCGCACAGCACGTTCCACATACCCCTGCAGCATACGGTGCCCCACGCACCCCCCTGCAGCATAGGGTGTCCCCCCACCCCACACACGCACCCCCCTGCAGCATAGTCGGCGCGGCAGAGCCATGAGAGTGCGAGGAAGTGCGGCATCTGCCAGAAGTACAGCGCCCCCGCCAGCACCGCTGCTCCCGTGTCCAACCCGCCGCTCGCCGCCGCCCACCTGCCGGGGGAGGAGGGGGGGAGGGGGAGGGGGAGGGGTGGGGGTTGGGGGGGGGTATGGGGGTGGTGGAGGAGGAGGGGTTGGAGACGACAGGCAAGGAAGGGGCATGGTGGGAGGAGGGATGAGACATGCGAGCTGAGTCAGTGACAAGGATGCTCTCCCTTCCTCCCTGCCTGTCCTCTCCCTCCCAAAATCTCACCTCTCCTCCATGGCCCCTACAACAATCTCTGTGCCATGAGCGGCGGGATGGCATCTCACCCCATGAGCGGCGGGATGGCGCCCACGAGCGCGCCGACCCATGTGTTGGCGAGGTGCAGCTGCTTGAGCGGCGTGTACACCCCCGCATACAGCACTATGTTTGCCGCGCCCAGCCCCGCCGTCAGGCTGTTGGCCTGCGCACACAAAGAGGGGAGGAGGGGGGACGAGGGGCCAGTCAGGCGAGGCCTCTCTGAAGAGATCTGACAACGGGGGGGTAATGTGGAAACCTGCTGCTGCTGTCGATTGCACGTGCGCATGCTGACTGCATTGCATTGCATGCTGGCAGCACTGCACTGCGCGCAGCACCTGGGTGGCGAGGATGGCCATGCCGCTGGCGCCAGTCAGCACGCCCCAAGCGATGGCGTGCTGCCGGCTCATCCTGCCTGCCGGCAGCGGCCTGCCCCGCGTGCGCTTCATCAGCGCGTCGTTCGCCACCTCGTACACCTGGTGGCAGCGGGCAGCGGGGCGTGCAGAGAGAAGGGAGGGGCGGGGGGGTGGGCAGGGAGGCACAAGAGGAGAGTGTGAGCAACACAGCAGCGCAGCAGCCAAGCAGCACGCAGGAGGGCAAGCCGCAGGGGCGAAGAGAGCAGCGGGGGCGAAGAGAGCAGCGGGGGAGAAGAGAGCAGCGGGGGCGAAGAGAGCAGCGGGGGCGAAGAGAGCAGCGGGGGCGAAGAGAGCAGCGGGGGCGAAGAGAGCAGCGGGGGCGAAGAGAGCAGCGGGGGAGAAGAGAGCAGCGGGGGCGAAGAGAGCAGCGGGGGGCGACGAGAGCAGCGGGGGCGAAGAGAGCAGCGGGGGCGAAGAGAGCAGCGGGGGCGAAGAGAGCAGCGGGGGCGAAGAGAGCAGCGGGGGCGAAGAGAGCAGCGGGGGAGAAGAGAGCAGCGGGGGCGAAGAGAGCAGCGGGGGCGACGAGAGCAGCGGGGGCGAAGAGAGCAGCGGGGGCGAAGAGAGCAGCGGGGGCGAAGAGAGCAGCGGGGGCGAAGAGAGCAGCGGGGGCGAAGAGAGCAGCGGGGGCGACGAGAGCAGCGGGGGCGAAGAGAGCAGCGGGGGCGAAGAGAGCAGCGGGGGCGAAGAGAGCAGCGGGGGCGAAGAGAGCAGCGGGGGCGAAGAGAGCAGCGGGGGAGAAGAGAGCAGCGGGGGCGAAGAGAGCAGCGGGGGCGAAGAGAGCAGCGGGGGCGAAGAGAGCAGCGGGGGCGAAGAGAGCAGCGCGTGGCGAAGAGAGCAGCGGGGGCGAAGAGAGCAGCGGGGGCGACGAGAGCAGCGGGGGCGAAGAGAGCAGCGGGGGCGAAGAGAGCAGCGGGGGCGAGAGAGCAGCGGGGGCGAAGAGAGCAGCGGGGGCGAAGAGAGCAGCGGGGGCGAAGAGAGCAGCGGGGGCGAAGAGAGCAGCGCGTGGCGAAGAGAGCAGCGGGGGCGAAGAGAGCAGCGGGGGCGAAGGGAGCAGCGGGGGCGGCGAGAGCAGTGGGGCGAAGAGAGCAGCGGGGGCGAAGAGAGCAGCGGGGGCGAAGAGAGCAGCGGGGGCGAAGAGAGCAGCGGGGGCGAAGAGAGCAGCGCGTGGCGAAGAGAGCAGCGGGGGCGAAGAGAGCAGCGGGGGCGACGAGAGCAGCGGGGGCGAAGAGAGCAGCGGGGGCGAAGAGAGCAGCGGGGGCGAAGAGAGCAGCGGGGGCGACGAGAGCAGCGGGGGCGAAGAGAGCAGCGGGGGCGAAGAGAGCAGCGGGGGCGAAGAGAGCAGCGGGGGCGAAGAGAGCAGCGCGTGGCGAAGAGAGCAGCGGGGGCGAAGAGAGCAGCGGGGGCGAAGGGAGCAGCGGGGGCGGCGAGAGCAGTGGGGGCGAAGAGAGCAGCGGGGGCGAAGAGAGCAGCGGGGGCGAAGAGAGCAGCGGGGGCGAAGAGAGCAACATGGCGGCGTGGGCATCCGCACCTGGTTCCACGTGTTGGCGGACGCAGCTGCGAGGAAAGTTCCCAGCGAGGTCCATCCGAGCCCTGCCCAGTCAACGTGGTCGCCGCTGCCCATCACGAAGCCCGCCGCTGCCGTCGCCACCACCAGCAGGCTGGGGGGAGGCGAGGAGCAGGGGGTTGAGGGGCAGGGGGTTGAGGGGCAGGGGGTTGAGGGGCAGGGGGTTGAGGGGCAGGGGGTTGAGGGGCAGGGGATTGAGGGGCAGGGGATTGAGGGGCAGGGGCGGGCGACGAGAGGGCAGAAACGAAACCCTACAGTTGCCGACGGGAGTGCTGCTGGTTGTTACCGTACGCTGCACACGACACGACGCGCAATGCCCCGCCTCCGCACCCACACCCACCTTTCACCCGCGTCTCGCTCCTCTCTCACCTGAGCCGCGTCTTGCTTAGCTCGTAGTAGCACCGCGCGTAGTGCTTCCATCCGCGCGCGCCCACCGCCGTGACCGCCGCGGGAACGGCGAGGCTTGCGCGGGCGGCGGCGGGCAGAGAGGCGGCGACGGAGAGGGTGGCGGAGGAGAGGTGGGCGGAGGAGCGGGGAAGCGCGGAGCGGAGTGCGGAGAGCGAGGGGGAGGCGAGCGCGAGAGCGAGGGGCGACGCGTGGCGGCATGCGCCAACGCGAGCGGCGGTAGCGGCGAGGAGGGCGGGGCGGAGCGACGGAACGGCATGATGGGGCGCGGCGGCGACGGGGGGTGCGGCGTGCGCGAGGGTGTGCAGCGGGTGGGGACTGCCCGGTAAGGGCGCGCCGTGCCCGTGCGCGCGGGACAGCGACGAGACCTGCTTGCGCGCCTCGCGGCACGCCACCCGCCACATGGCTGCCGCGCGAGTGAACGGTCAGCGACGACGGCGATGAGAGCAGGCGGCGACACGCTAAGGACGCTCCTAAAGTGGATCTGAATGCGACGTGAGCGCGAGGTGCGGTGCGATACCTCGCAGAGCCTTCCGTTTCAGAGACGGCAGCGCGGTGACGGACGGGGTCACGAGGAGCAAGGGGCTCCCACCGTACGCTCCGCGTGGCCTGGGCGTAGAAAGAGAGATGTCGCGAAGCGGAGGGAGAGACTACCGTGCGAGAGGTGGAAGGCGAGAGCTTGTGGTGGCGTCGAGAAGCGACGAGAGTGGCACGAGCCCGAGCGCGCCCGCTGAATGCGACAAAAGGGGTACCCTAGGACATGGTTGGGGCCAAACCTGGGTATACAGCCTCGGATTCCACTTTTCCGTGCGTGGCTCAGGTTTGACAGCGAAAATGCTAAGGAACCAAAACCGGGACCAGTACGCGTTACAAGGCAGAGGAATTTTGTTCTTCTCTACACAAGGTCAGTATCCAGGTGACTCGAATAGATACTCCACTGTTACGGACCTTTGCGGAGAAGAGCTCGAGGTGTTTTCGACAGTCCAATCCAACCACAAAGCCCAGCCAACCAAGAGGTGATCCCAGGGGCGAGTAGTACATCTCACCGCATCGCGCCTGAATAGCCGGGGCTGCCTCGCGTCGCTCTCGATTCTGTCGCTGCCGCCCGCGAAACGTTTTTCCAACCAAGTGCCAACTAGCGACGACACTGCGGGTTCCGGCGATCCGCACTGGGCGCGCATTCAGCTGGTCGCGGCGACCATCAGCATCGCGCACCTCGCCGCCCCCTCCACCCTCGCCCGTGCCGCGTGCCACCCGAGCGCCGCTGCAAGGCGCGCGCGGAGCGTCAGAGAGGGCGAGAGAGACAGCGACGCGGCGATCGCGAGTCCGCCTGGGAGATGGCGGAGCAGCAGGCAGGACCCACGCAGGTGAGGCTGCGCGCCTTGGGTCCTATGCCCTCTCACTCCCCGCCCAACCCATCCTCCCCCCCTCAGGTGTCGGTGAAGGACCTCCATCACCCGCGCCCCCCCATCAGCCGCACCCCCCCCATCAGCCGCGCCCCACCCACTCTCCTGCAGGGAAGGGCATCCCTCGGCTGGCCGTGGAGCACGTGCGGCAGATGAGGGAGCACGTGGAGCAGATTAGGGAGCACGTGCGGCAGATTAGGGAGCACGTGGAGCAGCACGTGAAGGTCCTCCATCACCCCCCGCCCGAAGGTCCTCCTCGCCTGCCCGCGTCCCCACCCATCCCCCACCATCCCCCACCACCCCCCACCACCCCCCACCACCCCCCACCACACTCCCCCATGCCGTGCTGGTGTCAGTGAAGGACATTCCGAAGCTCCCAGTGGAGCACGTGCGGCAGATCAGGGAGCAGGTGGAGCAGAAGGTGAAGGTGCTTGGCTCAGCTGCACCATCCCGCCCCATCAATCTATAATCAAGCCCCCCCTCTCTGCACCCCCCACACCTTCCCCCCGCAAGGTATCGGTGAAGGACATTCCAAAGCTCCCCGTGGAGCACGTGCGGCAGATCCGCGAGCAGGTGGAGCAGGAGGTGAAGGTGCTTGGTGATTCGCTCGCCAGCCTGCGGGCGGCGCTCGCCAGAATAGACGCGTCCAGGGCGGCCGTGGAGAGCATGGCGCGACAGAAGGAAGGTGAGGGGGGAGGGTTTGGGGCGATGGGAGAGAGAAGACAGTCCACAGGAGGACGGTGGACGGGGGATGGTGGGCGGCGTCCACCGGTGGACAGGGGGGCAAGGTTCCATGCAATGCAATGCATGCATGCCTCCCACACACCTCTCCCACACCTCTCCCTCACACCTCTCCCTCACACCTCTCCCACACACACACCTCTCCCACACACCTCTCCCACACACCTCTCCCACACACCTCTCCCACACACCTCTCCCACACACCTCTCCCACGCACCTCTCCCACACACCTCTCCCACACACCTCTCCCACACACCTCTCCCACACACCTCTCCCACACATCTCTCCCACACACCGCTCCCACACACCTCTCCCCCACACCTCTCCCTACACCTCTCCCCCACGCCTCTCCCCACACCTCTCCCTACACCTCTCCCCCACGCCTCTCCCCACACCTCTCCCCCACACCTCTCCCCCACACCTCTCCCTACACCTCTCCCCCACGCCTCTCCCCACACCTCTCCCTACACCTCTCCCCCACGCCTCTCCCCACACCTCTCCCCCACACCTCTCCCCCACACCTCTCCCCACACCTCTCCCCCACACCTCTCCCCCCCAACGCCGCCAGGCCAGAGCATGCTGGTGCCTTTGACCGGCTCCATGTACATCGCTGGCACCGTGGCAGAGCCCTCCCACGTGCTCATTGATGTCGGCGCCGGCTACTATATCGAGGTGAGCTATGTCGAGGTGAGCTATATCAAGGTGAGCTATATCGAGGTGAGCTATATCGAGGTGAGCTATATCGAGGTGAGCTATATAGAGGTGAGCTATATAGAGGTGGGCTATATCGAGGTGAGCTCTGTCGAGGTAAGGGATGTTGCGTGACCTATTTCGAGGTGACCTTTTATTGAGATGACTCCTACATAGATGTGACACACCCTGTGTCGAGGTGCCTTAAGTTCTGCTGCGTGCACCATGTGCTGCGTGCACCATGTGCTGCGTGCACCATGTGCCGCGTGCACCATGTGCCGCGTGCACCATGTGCTGCGTGCACCATGTGCCGCGTGCACCATGTGGTGTGGCATTGGAGCTCTTCTTTCGCTTCCCTATGTGTCCTCCCGCATGCTAATACCCATTCCGCGTCCCCCCGTGTGCTTCGAATCTGCTAATTCCCTGTGCTCGCTGTGTATCTTTCCGTTCCGTGTGTGTCCGTGTGTGCGGTGCTGCGCTGTGTGCCCCACGGCAGAAGTCAGTGGAGGACGCCATGGGGTACTGCATTCGCAAGGCGGAGCTGCTGAGGGCCAACCATGACAAGTTCAGCGAGGTGAGGGTAACAGCGAGGAGAGGGTAACAGCGAGGTGAGGGTAACAGCGAGGTGAGGGTAACAGCGAGGAGAGGGTAACAGCGAGGAGAGGGTAACAGCGAGGTGAGGGTAACAGCGAGGTGAGGGTAACAGCGAGGTGAGGGTAACAGCGAGGTGAGGGTAACAGCGAGGTGAGGGTAACAGCACACACTCCCTCCACACACCCTCGGGCAAGCAGTATGCCACACATGCCCCCACAATGCGGCGCGCCACATCCCATAGCGCAAGGAAGGGCACATGGTGGGAGCAAGAGTGGAAGAGCAGGTACCAAGGGGGACCTCTTGCCGCACCACTCTGTTTCACTGATTCATCTCATGGCTCGACCATTCATCTCATGGCTCGACCATTCATCTCATGGCTCAACCACATGCGCTCGACCACATGCACTCGACCACATGAGCCCGACCACATGCACTCGACCACATGCGCTCGACCACATGCGCTCGGCCACATGCGCTCGACCACATGCGCTCGACCACATGCCCTCGACCACATGCACTCGACCACATGCGCTCGACCACATGCACTCGACCACATCCACTCGACCACATGCACTCGACCACATCCACTCGACCACATGCACTCGACCACATGCCCTCGACCACATGCACTCAACCACATGCGCTCGGCCACATGCACTCGACCACGTGCACTCGACCACATGCACTCGACCACATGTGCTCGACCACATGCGCTCGACCACATGCACTCGACCACATGCGCTCGGCCACATGCACTCAACCACATGCACTCGACCACATGCACTCGACCACATGCGCTCGACCACATGCACTCGACCACATGCCCTCGACCACATGCCCTCGACCACATGCGCTTGACCACATGCGCTCGACCACATGCACTCGACCACATGCACTCGACCACATGCACTCGACCACATGCGCTCGACCACATGCGCTCGACCACATGCACTCGTCGCCGTGGGTGCTCTTGGGCGTGGGTGCTGTTGGGCGTGGGTGCTCTTGGGCGTGGGTGCTCTTGGGCGTGGGTGCTCTTGGGCGTGGGTCCTCGTGCTCCTGGGAGCTGTCTCGGCCTCAGCACTGGGAGGTGCGGGTCATGGCCACCCCCTGGCCAGGTGGCGCGTGCTGCTATTGGGATGTGCTGCTATCAGGTGGTGATGGTGCTGCCATGCGCATGTGGGGCCTTGATCTGATCCCATCCACACCACACCATCCCATCTCCTACCCCGCACCCCACGCCCTGGCCAGGTGGTGCGCTCCACGTGGCAGCTTCTAGGCGTTACCTTGGTGCTGCCACTCACACGTGGGCTCCAATCCTCTTTTCCTGCCACACCACACCCCACCCCACCCCACCCCACCACCAGGTGGCGCGTGCGAAGCGGCAGCTGCTGGAGGAGGTGACGATGGTGCTGCAGGCGAAGGTGAGGGCCGCCGTGCAGCAGCAGGGCGCGGCAGCAGGGGGGGTGCCACCAGCCCGAGTGGAGGCAGCGGCCTCGTGACTCGCCCTGCTTGCAATGGAATTGTTAGTGAACCGTAGCAGAAGCCTGATTTGTGATAACAGCCTTCTGGTGTACCTATGTAGTAAGTGCGCTCCAGATGCATGACGCACAGCATAGGTGGGTTTCGGGATGTATGAATATTAGTTTGTCCTACAACAACGTTTCGAGCGCTCCATGTGCATGAGATGAGATGAGATCCCTATCATAAGTGTTTTTCTGAATGACACACACACACACGCACACTTGTGCTGCACTCGTGAGCTGCGTCCATCCCCTTCTCCCCCTCTGCATCACAGCAGGCGCGTCTCGATGCCCTCCTCTGCCAGGTGCGTCTTCACCGCCTCTATGGACACCTGCGGGGCACACACACACACACACACACACACACACACACACATACGAGCTCACGCACGCATGCACACACACACACACACACACACACACACACACGAGCACACGCACGCATGCACACACACACACACACACACACACACACACGAGCACACGCACGCATGCACACACACACACACACACACACACACACACACACACGAGCACACGCACACACGAGCACACGCACGCGCGCGCGCACTCACGAGCACACGCACGCGCGCGCGCACTCACAAACACACACACACACGAGCACACGCACGTATGCACACACACACACACACACACACACGAGCACACGCACGCGCACGCACACGCACACGCACGCATGCATACACACACACACACGCACACACACACACACGCACGCACGCACGCACACACACACACACACACACACACACACACACACACACACGAGCACACACACGCGCACATGCACAGACACACATCCACACACGCAGGCACACAGGCACATGGGACGGACACACGATTGTGCACTGCCGACTGCCCATTCTTGGCCCTCGCCACTCTCCATGCGGAGCAAAGCAGCGCCACGGAATCGCAGTAGGGACCACCGCGCTGCTGGAAGGCCTCAGCAGCGCGTTTAGCCATTAGCAGTGGGACAGCTGCCCTGCCTCACCTCGTTGCGGCGGACGATGCCAGCAGCCACGGCAGCAGAGGCAGAAGCATGTTGTGTGGAGCTGACTCAGTAGTGGTGCTAGCGAAGGGCCTCGCCTCGTTGCCACAGAAGCAGTATCGCTACCACCAGGGAGAAGACTCACCTCATTCCTGTGGAAGATGCCAGCGGCCAGCGCAGCGGAGGCCCCCGTGCTCTCAAACACCTGCGAGAAGTGCTGTGGCGTGCCAGCGCCGCTGCTGGCGATGACCGGGATGGTGACTGCTGACGACACCAGGTCCACCAGGTCCAAGTCAAAGCCGTTGCCCTGGCCTGAGGGGCGGGGGGAGGGGGGGGGGGAGAGGAAAAAAGAGGATAGAAATTGGGGGGGAGTTGTGTAAGAAGCAGAGAGGGAGGAAGATGGGCAGAAAGAGGAGGGGAGGAACGGAGATGCAGGAATGGCCACATTGCTTCAGCGTTGCTGCCCATGCTGATTGCAGGGAAGTCTCATTGTCTCACCATCGCAGTAGATGCAGTTGAGGTGAGCACATCTCACCATCGCAGTCGATGCAGTTGAGCTGAGCACATCTCACCATCACAGTCGATGCAGTTGAGCTGAGCACATCTCACCATCGCAGTCGATGCAGTTGAGCTGAGCACATCTCACCATCGCAGTCGATGCAGTTGAGCTGAGCACATCTCACCATCGCAGTCGATGCAGTTGAGCGGAGCACATCTCACCATCGCAGTCGATGCAGTTGAGCTGAGCACATCTCACCATCGCAGTCGATGCAGTTGAGCTGAGCACATCTCACCATCGCAGTCGATGCAGTTGAGCGGAGCACATCTCACCATCGCAGTCGATGCAGTTGAGCTGAGCACATCTCACCATCGCAGTCGATGCAGTTGAGCGGAGCACATCTCACCATCGCAGTCGATGCAGTTGAGCAGGATCTCCCCCGCCCCCAGCTGCTCCACTGCCTGTGCCAGCTCGTACGCGCCTATGGGGCGCCCCTCCCTGCCGCCACTCACCTGCACCACAGGGCAGGCAGCGCACAAAGCAGCATGGCTAGTGGAATCGCAATGCACTGCCTGACATGCTGAATCGCGATGCACTGCCTGACATGCACGAGCGCACAGCAGAGACCAACGCCCTTTGTGTGAGCGCGCCCATGCACATGCACGAACCAAAGGTACTGACAGCAGCACATATCGTATCTCACCGTGCACTGGTACCACGCATACTCCTCCCCGTTAGGGCCTGCGTTGGGAGACAGCCCAGAGGCACACGAGGAGGAAGGTGGAGAGGCAAGGTGCGCGCGTGAGAGAGTGGCCATGAGGGGTGAGGCGTACGGCTCAGACGACAGAGCTCATGATTCTCATGATTCTAAGCAAACCCTTCTCAATGGCAAACTCTTGGCAGAGGGAGAGAGAGCAGCCACCTGGTGTTGAGGCCTTGACGCATTTGTAGGGCACGTCGTCTGGCGAGTGCACGTACACCCTCTTGGGGTCGATGCTCACCACCACCGCCTGAGAGGCGGGGCAGGGCGGTCAGGCAGGGAGAACACGCGGCACAAGAATAGAGAGAAAAGCATGCAACAGGCCTAGGAGGGGGGCTGAAGGGGCAACAAGCAAGTGATGCAACACGCCATACAGATGGCATGTGTGTTACCTGGTTGCCATACAGATGGCATGTGTGTTACCTGGTTGCCATACAGATGGCATGTGTGTTACCTGGTTGCCATACAGATGGCATGTGTGTTACCTGGTTGCCATACAGATGGCATGTGTGTTACCTGGTTGCCATACAGATGGCATGTGTGTTACCTGGTTGCCATACAGATGGCATGTGTGTTACCTGGTTGCCATACAGATGGCATGTGTGTTACCTGGTTGCCATACAGATGGCATGTGTGTTACCTGGTTGCCATACAGATGGCATGTGTGTTACCTGGTTGCCATACAGATGGCATGTGTGTTACCTGGTTGCCATACAGATGGCATGGGTGTTACCTGGTTGCCATACAGATGGCATGGGTGTTACCTGGTTGCCATACAGATGGCATGGGTGTTACCTGGTTGCCATACACATAAGAGATCTGCTCTATTCCTGTCTTGCCGGTCTTCTTCTGCACTCAGAGCAACACATAAAGACAGAGCAAGAGACACGCAGAATACTCAGCACAGGGGTCGAGAGAACAGCTGGCGGAAAGTGAGGACGATACGAGAGCAGCGGACAGGCATAGGAATGCCGGCGCACCATGGAGCGCACTCACCCCCGACCTCATCAGCTCCTCCGCTGCGAACACGGCCTCGCTGCCGATGGACACCTTGTCGGCGCCGGACCTGAAGTACTCTGCTGCCACCTCCAGGGATGAGTACGGCCTGGGGAGTGGGGGGTATAGAGGAATGAGTGTGTAAAGCTTGAGTGGTTCACGGCATAGGTTACCACACCTTGTCGGCCCCGGGCCTGAAGTACCCCGCTGCCACCTCCAGCGAGGTGTACGGCCTGGGGGTGGGGGGAGGGTTGGGTGTCGGTGAGGGTGTGCGACACACACCTTGTTGGCCCCGGACCTGAAATACTCCGCCGCCACCTCCAGGAGGTGTATGGCCTTCGGGTGGGGGAAGGGGGGGGGGAGAGGGATACGGGCGTGGGTGTGTTATATTTGAGTGGATAAAGGCATGGGTATTTGATACCTGGTTGGGCGAACGGACGTAAACCACTGCTGCATCGATGGAGGTGCAGGGCCTGGTTGGGAGTGTGTGGGCGCGTGAGCGTGTGAGCGTGGGCGCGTGGGCGCGGGCATGGGCACGGGCATGGGCGTGGGCATGAGAGGCGTGGGCATGAGAGGCGTGGGCATGAGAGGCGTCGACATGAGAGGCGAGGAGGCACATGTGCGAACACTTGCATTACTGAACTCTGCCTGCCGATGCCATCACTGCCTGCCTGCCAATGCCATCACATGGTGGCACACACATTGATTTCAACCTTAGTTGGTCAATTACGCCCAGAGCACCTACGTAAACGTAATGTGACGCGTAAACGCACTTTACCTTTACTTACACGTACTTTACCTTTACTTACATTTTGGCGGGCAGTTTTGGAATTTTTATGGCCGGGGTGAAAAACAGAACCAAGAGCAAAAAAAGCAGCCCTAGGATGCGCGAGACTTGCGGCTAAGGCTAACTATGTGGAAAACAAACTAAGACAAGGAGATCAGGAGTGTGGGTGGATTTGAAGTTATGAGAGGAAGACCGATAAGGGTTGTTGCGGGAGAAGGGGGATTGGGATTGGGGGGAGCATAGTTCACAGAGTGCACGCAGCTTTTAGCAAAGGTGGGCACTCCTCCATCTTAAACACCTAGATCTACGGCAGGCCCAAAAGTTTTTAACCTGCCCACAGACGTAAAGTCGTTCTTGGTACACAAACGTACGCGTAAACGTAAGGCGTAAACGTACGTACACGTCAACGTAATTGACCAACTAAGATTTCAACAACCAGCACGCGGTGCCACATCTGCCCCCGCTGCCACCACATCCCCCCGCTGCGCACCTGCCATTGGCGTCCGTGAAGTCTCTGATGCCCCCCCCCACTGTGAGCGGCACAAACACGCGCTCCGATGCACGCTTCATCACCTGCAGCGGGTGAGGTTATGGGGCGAGGGGCACAGCACAGCATAGAGGGGAAGGGAGAGGAGGGGAGAATGCGAGAAATGGGGAGAGAGCCGAGGAAGCAGTTGAGGAGGTGAGGGCGTAGGGTTGAGGTGCGCAGTACTGAAGGGTTTGGGTTGAACCGAGAATGGTGAGGCAGACGCAATCGAAGTTTGAGAATTGCTTCAGTTATCTGGATCATGGCTCTGTCACCTCGAGCACGGGCATCACCTCGAGCACGGGCATCACCTCGAGCACGGGCATCACCTCAAGCACGGGCATCACCTCGAGCACGGGCATCACCCGGAGAATGCGCAGGTCGCCCCGTGGCCCGTGGGGCGTCCCTGAGACTCGTGAAAAAGGAGGAACGCCACTCTCAAGCGCACTATACAACCCGCCTCACTGGACCACCACCCCTAGCGCCAACCCTACCATTGCTTTGCCCCCACCGCCCTGACCTCGAGCATGGGCATCACCTCGAGCATGGGCAGGTCGCCCAGGGGGAAGTCCCGGAACCCCGTGATGTTGAGAAACGCCACCTCGTCCGCCCCCTCCTCGAAGTACCGCGCCGCCAGCTCCACTGGCTTGCCCAGGTTGCGCACCTGGTGGTGGGGAAGGGGGGGGGGGTGTTTGGGGGGGGAGGAGAGGGGAATTGGGGGAATTGGGGGAATGGGGAATGGAAATGGCGGGTGCAGGCAGGGGTGCCATTTGGCGCTGCAACCAGCACTGGCTCCGTCCGCCCCCTCCTGGAAGTACGGCGCCCCGCCAGCTCCACTGGCTTGCCAAGGTTGCGCACCTGAGAGGATGGCCTGGGAGGGAGGGGGGTCCGGGTGAATGGGGTGAATGTGGGTGGATGGGAGTGCATAGGGGTGGATGGGAGTGCATAGGGGTGGATGGGAGTGCATAGGGGTGGATGGGAGTGCATAGGGGTGGATGGGAGTGCATAGGGGTGGATGGGAGTGCATAGGGGTGGATGGGAGTGCATAGGGGTGGATGGGAGTACATCGAGGTGGATGTGGGGGTGGATGGTAGTGCGGCCATGTGTGAGGTGCCGAAGGGGCACCCTGGCCTGACTGTGTTCCTCAAGACAACGCGACAAGCGTCCGGAAGGAAAGTTTCTGAGGGGGAGTGGAGGACGGCAAGCGCAGCGCAGGGGGATGCATGGGGCCGGATGCATGGGGCCGGATGCATGGGGCCGGATGCATGGGGCCGGATACATTGGGCCGGATGCATGGGGACGGATGCATGGGGACGGATGCATGGGGATGGATGCATGGGGACGGATGCATGGGGACGGATGCATGGGGACGGATGCATGGGGACGGATGCATGGGGACGGATGCATGGGGACGGATGCATGGGGACGGATGCATGGGGACGGATGCATGGGGGGAGATGCATGGGGGGGATGCATGGGGGGGATGCATAGGGGGGATGCATTGGGGGGGATGCATGGGGTGATGCATGGGGGGAATGGATGGGGTGGGGGAGTGCATTGGGGGGGGTGCATGGGGGGGAAGGTGAGTCCGGCTTGAATTCCTTGTCGACGAATTCGCCGAAGCTGGGTTTCAACGAGTCGAGAAGGGGTCGAATCTCAGAATCCGGATTTGAGGTTTTTCGAGTCAACTTTGAATCCAGGGTTCGAGGATTCGGATTCTCTGTGCATCCCTAAGTCTAACATGCCAGAAGCCACCATCCCACTATCATCTCACTATCATCTCACTATCATCTCACTATCATCTCACTATCATCTCACTATCATCTCACTATCATCTCACTATCATCTCACTATCATCTCACTATCATCTCACTATCATCTCACTATCATCTCACTATCATCTCACTATCATCTCACTATCATCTCAACTATCATCTCACTATCATCTCACTATCATCTCACTATCATCTCACTATCATCTCACTATCATCTCACTATCATCTCACTATCATCTCACTATCATCTCACTATCATCTCACTATCATCTCACTATCATCTCACTATCATCTCACTATCATCTCACTATCATCTCTCCCTCTGCCTCACCTCGCGCTCGTCGCCCTGCTCTCTGACGTCGTACTGGTCGCCCTTAGTCACCACCAGGTCGCCGCGGTCGTTGGCGCGCACGTCCAGGCAAGCAATCACGCGCTTTGCTAGCTGCGACGCCCTGGGCCCGCGCAGGGGCTTGCTGCACGCCGCCTCCACCTCCTGCTTGTGCCATGCCGTGCCGTGGGATGGGAAGGGAAGGGATGGGATTGGGTGGGAAGTGGGATGGGATGGGATGGGATGGGATGGGATGGGATGGGATGGGATGGGATGTGAATATCAGGTCGCCAGGGTCATCGGCCCTCACGTCCAAATATGTGATCACCCTCGTTGCTAGCTGCGATGCCCGCAGTCCCTGCAGGGGCTGGCTGCATGCCGCCTCCACCTCCTGGCATGCTGTGCGGTGCGGTGCGGTGCTGTTTTGTATCTGTGCGGTGCGGTGCGGTGCTGAGCTGTGCTGTGCTGTGGCATGTGAAGGAGCATACATGTGATAGCACGTGATACCAGGGGATGCCATGTTATGTGATGTCACGTGGTATGATGCCCGTGCCAATTTGGCACATAGAATACGTAACGCAGGTAGAATCAGCAGGATAAAAAGACACTCAACTAAGCAAAACCAGTCTACCAACTAAGTAAAGCCCGCACAGGTGAGCAAAGGCAGCAGAGAGAGCAGCGAGAGCAGAGAGGGCAGAGAGGGCAGAGAGGGCAGAGAGGGCAGAGAGGGCAGAGAGGGCAGAGAGGGCAGAGAGGGCAGAGAGGGCAGAGAGAGCAGAGAGGGCAGAAAGGGCAGAAAGGGCAGAGAGGGCAGAGAGGGCAGAGAGGGCAGAGAGGGCAGAGAGGGCAGAGAGGGCAGAGAGGGCAGAGAGGGCAGGGCACCCGCCTTGGCCTGCTGGCTCCTGTTGGGCCCCAGGAAGCGGCGCAAGATGTCCAGCCCCACCACTGGCGGGGGGGGAAGAGGGAGGAGAGGGAGGGCATGGGGAGCAGGGAGGGCGCATGGATGCACAGCAACAATACAAATGGCCACGGTGTGGGCATGGGCATGGGCATGGGCATGGGCAGGCATGGGCATGACTTGAGTGAGGTGGAAGAGACAGGACGCATGAACGGACGGTGCACGCGAATGTAGGGAGAATGCAGCAGTGACCACACTCGCCTGCTACCGCAATCACCGCACACACACCTCCGCTGCCACCACCCCCCTGCCACACCCCCCCTGCCTCTCTTCTCACCTCCGACTTCTCACCTCCGACTTCTCACCTCCCGACTTCTCACCTCCCGACTTCTCACCTCGCGACTTCTCACCTCCCGACTTCTCACCTCCCGACTTCGCACTTCCCGACTTCTCACCTCCCGACTTCGCACCTTGCGACCTCTCACCTCCCGACTTCTCACCTCCCGACTTCTCACCTCCCGACTTCTCATCTCCCGACTTCTCACCTCCCGACTTCCCCCCCCCTCTTTCCTCTCACAGCCTGCACATTGCCCCTCCTCTCCTCGCTGCTGCTGTCAACCTCCACCACCTCTCACTTCTCCCCTGCCTCCCCTCCCTCGCCCCTCACCTCCCGACTTCTCCGGGTGGAACTGCACGGCTTGCACGTTGCCCTTCCTCACTGCGGCCACGTACGGCTCGCCGTAGTTCGCAGTGGCCAGCACCCACTCGCTGTTGGCGGGGGTCTGGGGGGTTGGTTGCGGGCGGAGAGGCAGAGAAGGGGGGAGGGGGGGGTGGAGGCTAAGATAGGAAAGGCGTATAGCTCGCCGTAGATTGGGGGCAGCACGGTGTTGTCGCCAGCGCCCACTCGCTGTTGACAGGGTCTGGAAGGAGGGGGAAGGGGGAGGGGGGAGGGGAAGTTGGGGTGGGGGGTGAAGAGGTGAAAGCTTGGGACAAAAGGCGGGAGCGAGTGTGGTGCTAGAGCATGGGAGTGGGAGGGGGGATTGTGGAGTGAAAGTGGCAAGGGCTTTTTATCGGCTATCAGCTTCACCTGGGCGGCATTGACTCTCGCCTGAGTGGCGTTGACTCTCACCTGAGAGGCGTTGACTCTCGCCTGAGTGGCGTTGACTCTCACCTGAGTGGCTCGGTACGAGTGCACAAAGTACACGTGGCGCCCATTCACCCCATCCAGGATGGACGGCTCAGATTGCACGATCTGCAGCCCGTTCCACCCAATCTGCGGCACAGTGAGCCCCGTGGATCCATCGAACCGGGACACGGTGCCGGGGATGATGCCGAGTCCCTCCACTGGGGGAGGGGGGGGTGAGGAGGTAGAAACATGGGGAGGGAGAGAGGTGGGCGTGAATTTGGCAATTTGGGGAATGGGGGTTGCAGAATGACACAGTGGCATGACAGCCAAGGCCTGTGGCATGCACGTTGCACTCTCACTTCCTCTCTGCCTCCCTCCCTCCCTCCCTCCCTCCATCTTGCATGATTCCATCCTACCCATCCCCATGCCCCTCTCACCATCCCCATGCCCCTCTCACCATCCCCATGCCCCTCTCACCATCCCCATGCCCCTCTCACCATCCCCATGCCCCTCTCACCATCCCCATGCCCCTCTCACCATCCCCATGCCCCTCTCACCATCACCATGCCCCTCTCACCATTCCCCAACTCCCCACTGCCGTCAGCAGCTGCAGCCCCAGGCAGATGGGGCCGTGCTTTCACTATGCTAAAAAAACAACCCATCCCTCCTTCCCCCATCCCCCCTTCCTTCCACCCCCCTGTCCCCCATCTCCCCTTCCCCCTATCCATCCCCCTGTCCCCCATCTCCCCTTCCCCTATCCCATCCCCCTGTCCCCCCATCTCCCTTCCCCCTATCCCATCCCCCTGTCCCCCACCTCCCCTTCCCCTATCCCACCCCCTGTCCCCCATCTCCCCTTCCCCTATCCCATCCCCTGTCCCCCATCTCCCCTTCCCCCTATCCCATCCCCCTGTCCCCCCATCTCCCTTCCCCTATCCCATTCCCCTGTCCCCCATCTCCCCTTCCCCTATCCCATCCCCCTGTCCCCCATCTCCCCTTCCCCCTATCCCATCCCCCTGTCCCCCCACCTCCCCTTCCCCTATCCCATCCCCCTGTCCCCCCATCTCCCCTTCCCCCTATCCCATCCCCCTGTCCCCCCATCTCCCCTTCCCCCTATCCCATCCCCCTGTCCCCCCATCTCCCCTTCCCCCTATCCCATCCCCCTGTCCCCCCATCTCCCCTTCCCCCTATCCCATCCCCCTGTCCGCCCCTCACCGTCGCCAAACTCCTCGCTACCATCGAACAGCAGCTGCAGCCCCAGGCAGATGCCCAGGAAGGGGCGGTCCAACGCCACATACTGCCGGATGGCATCAGACAGACTGGCAGGGGGGGGGGGGGGGAGTGAGCACGAGAGTGGGATATGAAAGGGGGTGGGGCACATTACCCAAGCAGATGCCCACGAAGGGGCGGTCCAACGCCACGTACTGCCGGATGGTGTCAGATAGGCTGGCAGGGGGGGGGAGGGGGAAGGGGGGGAGGGCATACGAGCCAAGCAGACGCGCATGGAAGGGGGGTTTCATTTCAAGGCAACGTCATGCGGGATGGCGTTGACTAGAGCGCCATAGGGTAGGCGGGGCGGGAGCCAGGATAGGCGGGAGGAGGGTGGGGCGAGAGGAGGAGGGGGTGGGGGAACTCAGGGCAGAGAGAGAGAGAGAGACGCGGATCGAAGGGACCGGCCGAGGGGAGGACTGGCGGAGGAGGTGCAGAGGGAAGGGACGCCAAGAGGTGCTGGCTGTCAAGGAGCGGGAGAGATGTCACACTGCGGGGAGGGAATGCCGGCGCCGGTGCCTGAGGAAGGGGTAAACGCACGGGAGGCAAGTGCGCCTGCTGGTACTGCTGGGGCGCCAGAAGCTGCGGAGAATACGCCAGAGCCTGCTGGGGTTGGGCGACACTGCGGAACAAGCCCTCGAGAGTCGCCGCGGCCCGCCCTAGGCGCCTCTCCGCTGCGGACCCACGGTTACTCCCCCCGCCAGCCCTCCAGCCGGCGCGCTGGCCCGAACGCCCGCGCGGCGCCTGCGGAGTCCGGCGCTGCTGCCCTGGCCCCGCCTGTGGGCGGCGCTGAGGCGTTCCTCGGCGAGAGGGATGCTGCTGGCACGGTGACTGCCGCACCTCGCCACGCGCCACTGGCTCACGTCCAATTTCCACGGCGCGCTCAGGGGATTTCTCCTCGTGTCTCGGGGGCGCGGCAGTCCTGCCCCGCGACTGCCCCCGCATCCGCTCAGGAGTCTGTTGGCGGGCCGCCGAGGGGACGAGGAGCCCGCGCTCCCAATCCCGGTTCGACGACGCCGGAGGACTCGCCCGACCTTGGGGGGACTCGCTGTCCCCAGTACTCCCCAAATCGGCAGAACGCTCCCGCGCTGGTCGCTCCATCCCGAGGAGGCGCACCGCACTCGGCTCCCCCCACGACTCGACACGAAAGCCGAACGACGACCAGGGCCGCCCCGAGAGGAAACCACGGAGGCGGACGCGGAAGACTCCACACACGGACAGCCGGAGGGCGCGGTCGCGGGGCGGCAAGGCGTGGCAATCTGTCCTCCGACGGAGGACCGCTGAACGGATTCCAGCAGGCAGCGAACAGGGCTTTAAGTGCCGCGGAACTGCAACGAACGACTGATGAGGAGGAACGGGCGGACGGAACTTATATACCAGGGAACCAGGGAGACCCCCCGACTGAGACCTCCAGTGAGGAGGAACACGTCGAAGCAAACAGGCGCGCTGGAGGACGAGAGACTGACCCATCTCCAAGATCTAGGGGACGAGGGTCCAGCCGTTTGCACAATACTCGGGCACCGCTGGACACCCACCCCCAGGCAGCCCAGCAGTTGTCCCCGGAAGAACTGGCGAATGACCCCTCCAGATTCGCCGTCATCGCCACGTGGGATGTCGCAGTTCTCTGCGACAGTCGCCAACCCCCTCTCTCCCGCCGGTTACCCCCCCAAATCCGTCAACTTTTCGCGCTCACCCTCCTGACACCCCTCCTTTTCCTCGCCAAACATCCAACCTCCATCGAGGGTTGGACCCTGTTACTTTACCTCCCGCGCCTCACACTTCGCCTACCCTCGCCTCGACGCCCTGACTGGCCCGCGACGGAACGACGACTCCGACAATTTCTCGCGGGCCAGTGGGACACACTGTACCAAGCTGCTGCCTCTGCTGTCACCCTGCCACCCCCTCCCCGCCACGTACCTGACACTCTCGGGAAAATATCCCGCGCCGAGGGCTTGGTACGACGAGGCAGTTTGCGACGGGCACTGCTCGCGTTGACTTCGACCCCAGTCAGCAAGTCCACCCCCACGGTCCTGGACGCGCTGAAGTCAAAACACCCCCCTCCGCTTGTCGAAAGCCTCACCTGGCCACGGCTTGACGAAAACTGCAGGCCGCCGACAGTCGATTTCGCTACGTTCGCGAAGCTCCTCGCCCGCTCCGAAAATGGAGTTGGGGCAGGCCCCTCGGGGATGACCTTCGAGCACCTTCGCGACGCCTCGCTGTCCAACCCCACCGTCGCCACAAACCTCCACAAGCTCGTCCAGCGGTTACTGGCGGGTAACCTGCCGCACGAGGTCAGCCAGCTCGTTACCTCCTCACGCCTCCTGGCCCTTACCAAGCCAGATGGGGGTACCCGCCCCATCGCAATAGGGGAGTGTCTCCATCGACTGGCGGCAAAAGCCGCGCTAATCTCCTCCACGCAATCCGCGCAAGACTACTTCCTACCACACCAATACGGGGTAGCCATCAGGAGCGGCGGGGAAACAATCATCCACGCCACCAGGGGCTTTACCTCTGCGCGCCCGGGCTCACTCATCCTACAAGTCGACCTCTCGAACGCCTTTAATAGCGTTGACCGTGGGGCAATCATCCACGCAATCAACACCTCGCCCCTCCGCCCGCTCCTTCCATTTATCCAACTCTCGTATGGCGCGCCGTCTCTGCTCTATCTCGACGCTGAGTTTGATAGCCCGCCCCTACTCAGCGCACGGGGAGTTCGCCAAGGGGATCCCATGGGCCCCCTCCTCTTCGCAGCAGCCATCCACCCAGCCCTCCAGGCAACCGCCGCGGCCCACCCCGAGGTCCTTTGCCTCGCATACGCTGACGACGTCACTTTCGTCGGCAACCCGGACGCCTGCACCTCGGCATTCCTCACCTTCACAGCCGCCATGGACCGCATCGGTCTCTCCCACAACCCCGCGAAATGCGCAGCATGGTCAGCCGAGCGCCCTGCACCCGACCGCCTTCCCCCAGACATACCTTTCAACACTGAAGGCGTCCGCGTGCTTGGCAGCTTTATAGGCACAGCCGAGGGCACAGCCGCATTCCTCCGCACCCAGCTAGCCCTGCTAGCCGAACCCCTCGCCACACTGGCCACAATGGACCCTCAGTCCTCATCCCTCCTCCTCACACGCTGCGTGTCCCGGCGTGTCTCATACTTAACCCGCACCACCCCCCTTGACTTCCTACCCTTGGACGTCTGGTCCGACTGGGGTAGGGAGCTCTTCCATACCCTCCTGCGTGCCTGCAACCTCCAACAGCCTCGAGGGGAGGTGGAGCAGGCGCGCACTTGGGCTCAAGCGTCCCTCCCTCCCTCCCTTGGAGGACTGGGTCTAACCGACCCCGCAATTGAGGGACACCCAGCCTACCTCACCAGCCTCACCCAAGCCCAGGGCCTCTTGGCTGCCCTCCCAGCAGCGTCAGGAGGGCCCCTGGCTGACGCTGTCCGGCACCTCACGCCACCTTTCACCAGCCCCACCCACTTGCATACCTGGCTGGCGAAGTGTGAAACGGCGATGCCCCCACGAGCCCGGGAGCTCCTGCACTCCGAGAGGAGGGAACCCTCCGGCTCCCCACTCCAACACCGCTTATCCCTCGAAGTCCAGGCCGTGCGATACGCCGGCCAGGTGGCAGCCACGCGGACAATGGACCCAAACCCACTCTCTGGGCACACCCAACGCCTCTATTCCCTGGCTGGATATGGAGCAGGGGACTGGCTTCATGCCATCCCCATCTTCCCATCACTCCGCCTCGAAGCTCCACACTTCGCCATTGCCCTGGCCTTCCGCCTCGGCCTTCCATTCCCAGCCCCCCGCACTTGCAACTGCGCCGAGGAATTTGAAATCCTCGACACTAGGCTGCCCAACCACCTGCTCCGGTGTGGCACCGGGCACGGTCGGACTGACACCCATAATGCCCTGCGGGACGAGAGCATACGGATGGCCCGGGATGCTGACTTTATAGTCACCAAGGAGACCACCATCTACAGCCCCGTAGACGGCCACAAGGCCGACCTCGCCCTCCGAGACCGCAGTTCTGGAGCCGTCTGGATCTGTGACGTCACTGTCACAGATCCCATCAGCAGCCGGGACCCGGACGCAAGAAAAGGACGCGGATACATGGCCCGGGAGCAAGCTGACAAGAAAATCTCCCATTACCGAAATCGGGCTCCGTATGTCGGATTTTTCCCACTTGCAGTCGAGACATACGGCTGCCCATGCGCCGAGGTCCCTACCTTCTTGAAGCTGCTGGCTGACACAGGGGCCAGGAGACTTTTCAATGCGGACCCCAGCTCCTACCAGGCCGCAAAATTGCTCCACCAGTTTCGCCAACGCTGGTCAGTGACGCTGCAGCGGGCACAGGCCCTGGCTTACCTGGGGAAAGTTAACGAAGCCTCCCCTGCCCCCCACACCCCAGTGGGCACCCCTGACGCCGACATGGCACCCGGGGACTGCTTTGCCATAGCAGAGCCCCTAGGGGAGCTCGTGTAGTTTCGAGCCCCCAAACATGCACGTACCTTGCCTTGCTGCCCCTTGCCTGCCTTGCCTAGCCTGTACCCAGTTTTCCAAGCAATAAACGGACCGCTTGAGAGAGAGAGAGAGAGAGAGAGAGAGAGAGAGAGAGAGAGAGAGAGAGAGAGAGAGAGAGAGAGAGAGAGAGAGAGAGAGAGGGGTGGAAGCGAAAAGAACATGGCTTCATTGCTGTTACGGAAGCCCACTGGTGTGCTCACCCTCCACCCTCCGCCATCAGCCTGCACTCTCCGCCATCAGCCTGCACTCTCCGCCATCAGCCTGCACTCTCCGCCATCAGCCTGCACTCTCCGCCATCAGCCTGCACTCTCCGCCATCAGCCTGCACTCTCCGCCATCAGCCTGCACTCTCCGCCATCAGCCTGCACTCTCCGCCATCAGCCTGCACTCTCCGCCATCAGCCTCCACTCTCCGCCATCAGCCTGCACTCTCCGCCATCAGCCTGCACTCTCCGCCATCAGCCTGCACTCTCCGCCATCAGCCTGCACTCTCCGCCATCAGCCTGCACTCTCCGCCATCAGCCTGCACTCTCCGCCATCAGCCTGCACTCTCCGCCATCAGCCTGCACTCTCCGCCATCAGCCTGCACTCTCCGCCATCAGCCTGCACTCTCCGCCATCAGCCTGCACTCGCTGCCATCAGCCTGCACTCTCCGCCATCAGCCTGCACTCTCCGCCATCAGCCTGCACTCTCCGCCATCAGCCTGCACTCGCTGCCGTCAGCCTGCACTCTCCGCCATCAGCCTGCACTCTCCGCCATCAGCCTGCACTCGCTGCCATCAGCCTGCACTCGCTGCCATCAGCCTGCACTCTCTGCCATCCAACAACTTCGCATGGCACTCCGACGACGAAAACACCCACCCTCGCCCATTTATCCCTACCCTCGGCTACTACCCTCAGCCCCCAGCCCTGAGCCAACCCTCGCCCTCGGCAGCTGCCCGCAGGCGTGGGCAGTGAAGGCTCACCCTCTGCTGTTGAGCACGTCCAGGCTACCACCCACCCTCGGCTGTTGAGCACGTCCATGGCGGCTCTGAACGCCCCCACGCCCGGGAAGATGAGCTTCTTCGCTGCTAGGATATCCTCGGGCTCGCTCACCTGGGGGTGATGTGGAGAGGGGGGAAGGGGAGGAGGGGGGAGAAGGGGATGGGTGGGTGGGGGAAGGATGGGAGCAGGGTGGGGGAGGTGGGGTGGGGGGTAAAGCATATGCGGGATTGAGAAGGTGGAATGAGACCAACCCGAATGCGTGTTTCGGAGTTCAACCCACCCATGGCCGCCATCCCCCTCCAGAAACGAAGGACCAGCGCACTCGGCGCATACCCTGCCAGATTCCCTCGTCGCTACTCACGTCGTTGATCTCGTAACCCAGCAGGCGAATGGCATTTCGCACGCTTCGCACATTCCCCGCGCCGTAGTCCAGCAGAGTTACCACATTGTCGCCGTCGTCGCTCGCGTCGCCCGTCGCTGCTGATGCATGCGATCGACCAGGCGAACCATGAGGCGAGCATGCAACGGGGCACGGGAACACGGGAGAGAGAGACACGGCCAAGCATGCGATGGACCCGGCGAGCCCCCGGGCCAAGCATGCAGCGGGGCACAGAACAGGAGGGAGGGACGCAGCCATGGCAATGACGACGCGGGAGAGCGAGGGAGGGGCGTATTTGAAGGAAGAGGTTGCAAGCAGCGGCGCATGCGCGCGGAAGGAACGAGTGAAAGGCGCGCAGGACCACACACAGCAGCAGCATTGCATTCTAGCCTTGGCGTTAGCACGGCACGCGACGCTAATCCGGCCAACAACAGGCGTGCATCCGGCGCTTCTTCATCCGCGTCAAGAGGCGCTAAGCCTTGACCGTGGCATGCCAAGCTACGGGATCGCGCGCACCTTGCACCGTCAGCGACTTGGGCTGCCGCGATGCTACTCGCGCTCGGGCGTGAGAGGCTGCTGGCATGCGGTTGGGGGAAATGAATACTGGCGACGCCAGGGACGAGGACGAGAGGGAGGACGAGGCGGATGGGGACGAGGGGACGGCCATCCGCGTTACTAGAGGCGACGACTGCGAGAGGAGGGCCGCCATGGCCGGCATTGCGATCAAGTTGAGTTTAACCGCGGTGCGTGGCGATAAAGGTTTCAGCGGCTGTCGCGTGAACGTGGATCACGGCGATGCGACGCGACGACAGGGGGAGTGAGGATCGCGCAGAAGTGATGTCGCGCGACTGAGAGGATGATGTGCTGCTGGTGCTTGGAGTAATGGAGCTAATGCTCATCCTCGTGCTGATGCTGCTATGAGTGGTCCTCCGTGCCTCGATATTGCCGTGAGTGGCGCTGGCTGATCAGCGGCGGCGACAACACCAATGCGGGTGCGGCGCATGGCAGAGGGTTTTACGGTTTCAGTGTACCCACATACGGAACAATCTCAATATGTGGTCCATAAATCATGCTAAATAGCAATAATAGAAAGCTATGGGTAATCACATGCGTGCGAATTGATCATAGATGCTAGAAAACCTGCATATCGAATCCGACGAGGAACAATATTCTACCACTAGGATAAAATAAATGGGGATGTTTCTACAGCATGTGCACCCACATGACATGATTGCTCCTTTTGTCTGCTGGACTTGTGGAGCTCCCATAACATGATCTGCTCCTAGATGAGCCAGCTTGTGATTTGAGCAGACAGTGTGCGCTTGTGGCGTGTGATGGGCGCCGCAAACGACCCGGCATCACACGCCTCCTGCACATCCGGGAGATCCGGCTTCCACATGCTGGCTCGCCTCTCCTCCTTGCCAGCAGTAGCAGTGGACCAGTTGAAGAGGCACTCCCCATTCAGCACCTCCACGCGCCGCCTGAACGCCTGCAGAGCAGCCCGGCACTCCAAGTCGCCTGTCGCGCTTGCCTCTGCACCTGCTGCCAACGCCTCTGCAGCACCACTTGCCCTTGCTTCTGCCGCACGGCCCTTGGCCTTGCGCCCCACCATGCTGTCGTCCATGGCGCGCCGCGGCCTGCCAGCGTGGGCGCCTGAATCCAGGGACATGGCGCTCAGCAGGCGCCTCAGAGGGCTGCGCTCGCGACCGCTGGTCTCCTTGGCCTTGTCACACTCCTTGCGCTTCAACTCCTTCCGTGCCTCCTCCCTCCCTCCACGCTGCTGCTGCTGCTGCTGCTCCTCCTCCTCCTGTCCCTGCAGCTCCTGCCTCTCCTCCTCCCTCCCCACATCCCAGCTCACCTCTGGGTTGTTCTCTCCGCCTCTCATCCCGTGCCTCACAGGAGGGCTCGCCTGGGCCATGCGCGGCTGGGCGTCGATGTGGCGAGGAATGGGCTGGCAGGGCGTGAATGTGGGCTTGGTGGCGAAGAGCACGGGGGTGGGGGGGTGAAGCATGGGCGGGCGGGGCGGGCTCAGACTGCTGTCAGGTATCACCCGGGGAGGGCTGAGACTGCTTCTCCTGGGCACAGCAGAGGGCGGCCGTGCCAGGTCAGGGCTGCGCTCTCCCTCCTGCCGCACGCCCATGCTGCTGCGCCCATGGCTGTCCTCTGCTGCATGCACTCGCTGTGACTTGGGGCTCCTCCCTCTAAGCGGGCTCCGCCCCTTCAACGGGCTTCTGCCCCGCAGCGGGCTCAGCTGCCTCATCTTCTCCACCAGTGCCTCCGCCCACCCCTGCCCGCCCTCCCCTCTCTGCGCCTTCCCCTGCTCTCCCATCTCCCCCCCCTCCCCCTCCGCCCTCCCCCTCCCCCTGGTCCCCTCAGCCATGCTGAGCACCCTCTGCGCGCCAATGAGCGCCTCAACCGCTTCCAGTGCGCCCACTGCGCCCACAGCGTCACTCGTGGAGTGCCTGCGCCCATGGCTGCGCCTTAGGGGGCTGCTCCCCGCGGCCTCCACCACCCCCACCCCTGCCTGCGCCCCTGCTCCCTTGGCTCCACCCTCCTCCCTGCCTGGGTGTCTGGGCTTGAGCGGGCTGGCGCTGTGCTGCGCGGCTGCATCCCCTTGGAGCAGATGCGCCGCGTGCAGCGGCTTGTGCTGCTTCTCCTCCGCCCTGCCGCATGAATTAAGGAGGGACCCGCGCATTGGGCTCGCATGCGCGCTACCAAGGGGGCTCACATAAGGTGTCGTGTGCGCGCTGTGCTGCGGAGTCACGTGCGCGCTGCTCCACCTCCCGTCCCCCGCCTTCCCCCTTCCTTCCTCCTCCCCCCACTCCCCCGCGGCGAGCCCCTCTATCTCCCCCGGGCTGCCGCTCAGCGACCTGCAGGGGCGGTGCATGCCGCGCCTAGACCGCCTCAGCGCGGGCACCATCAGCCGTCCGGGGGAAGCCGCCAGCCCCCCGCGCTGCCCATCCCCCGCACGGGTATCCCCCGCCTTCCAGTTGGGCGCCGTCCCGCCAGTCTCCCCCGCCGCTTCCCCCGCGCGCCTGCCCGCTCCGCCATCCTCGTGGGCAGGGGCATGCGCGACTGCGGGGAAGGCTGCTGCACCCCGGGCGGGCGGCGGAGAGACGTCGGGGGAGACGTCGGGAAGCGCGCTGGTGCTGTGGTTGACGCGATGGCGGGGCTTCGCGAAGATAGTGCCGCGCGGCGGGGACCGCGCAGGCACGTGCGCCAGTGGCGGAACCCCGGAGGTGGGATACGCGGAGGGCGGAGACGATTGGCGCTGAAGGGGCGAGGGGGGGGGAGGAGAGGGCGAGGGGGAGCGGGTTAAGCGGGACTGCAACGCGCTCGCGTCGCATCGTTGACAAGGGAGTAGCCTTGCGCATACGTCAACGAACCTCCTACCGTGGGCTACGTCCGAAGCTTCGTCGCAATTCCAGGTTTTCTTGGCTTCCACGGGGTTCGTTCAAGGCTCAGGGAAAACAACAAAAAACTATAGCCCGCACTGTTCGCTCCAGACCCAACAGCACTGGCCGCGCCAGCTCATGCGCTCACCTCGTTCCTGCCGTTAGCGGAAGGCGTCTTGCGCAAATCCCGCGGAGGCTTCCGCCCCGCCGTCCCCCCATCATCCGAATGCGCGGCGGAGTCCTCTCCGCCCGTAATTCCGCTCTTCCCTTGCGCCTTCCGCACGAGGTGGTAGCACCGCCCCGGCTTAAGAATCCGCCCGGGGGGAAGCGGACCCTCGCGCTTGGCGAAGAGCGACGTGCTGCTGGCGTCGGCGGGCGAGAAGAGCGCGTGGTGCGGGTGGTGGCGGAGCGCGCTCTCCACGTAGACCGGCCCCATGAACACATCCACTATCGTGTCGCCCATTTTGAGCACTACCTTGTCCTTTAACGCCATGCCAGGCGCGGTAACGTATGGATGGACTAGCACGGGTGATGCTATGGTGTGTGCTGTGGTGAGGTAGGCGAAGAAACTACGGATATGCGCATGATGGTTTTGATGCAACAAGAAAGTGCAGCGCTATGTATGCACGCGAGCTCGGGAAGGGCTTTCTTTATTGCCTAGCACCTAAATGCCAGGGCGCGTTTAGCAAATGCATGAATCGACAGCATTCGCTCAGGTCTCCAGCCCCAGGTCTCAGTGAAATCAGCCACTGCTGAGGGTGATCAGGCTTCAGGACATGCGCTGCTGCTGTGGGGCAAGGTTGATGTGTTGCGAGGCAGGCTGGTCCGGGTGACACGTCCACGGGGCAAGGCAGCTGGCACGGATGGGGAGCGATGGAACATGGCTGACGACGGCTGACGGCTGCTGTGACTCGGACCGCGAACAATTTTCGTCAGCCGTTCATTTCTTTCGCCATTTGGTCGTGAGTCGCCTCGCCTGACGGCGCTGGACGGCCGCCCACCTGTCAGAAGTGCATACGCTCCCTCCAACACCGAGCCAGGGGACACGATTTGTGCAGGCGGACTTTCGCGGGAGCTCCGTCCAATAATGCGAAGCACAGTAACACCCGTCGTTACCAGGGTTGCCGGAGCGCCTCGAGATGAAACGCCCCTTGAAAATGGTTGACGGCAGGGCGAGAACGACCGCAGCACGGAGGGGAAGGGGAACCAAGGCATGATTTTTACGGAGCAAGGGGCAGTTTGTTGTGCGCAAGTAATGGACTAAAATGCGTACAGGTTCTCTAACTCTTCTTTAGGTTCTTTAGTCAAGGAACTGTAGTGCGTACCAGAGGGTAATACAGAAAATGTGCACTTCAAGGTTACCACGCCAAAAAAAAGCTTGTATCAGCAAAAAACATATACAGAGCCAAAGCAGTTTAATCCTCCCTTCTGCACGTCAAGCCACTTCTGCACGTCAAGCTACTTCTGCACGTCAAGCCACTTCTGCACGTCAAGCTACTTCTGCAACTGGCACAGAAAGGGCAAGGGGAAAAAGCAGGCAAGGGACACAAATACTATGGCTGACATGCAAAAGGTGTCACTGGAAAAAGGGTGGCACTAGGGAGGTTGTGACTGGCGCACAGAACTGCTGCGGGCAACAAAGCAGCGGCCCGCAGCCCAGGTATTGCCAGCCTGGCAACACTGGAGTGGCTCCCATCATAAGCGAGTGGCGCGACTGACAGCCGTCCCACGGACGGCACACGCCCCACTCGCGGCAATTCAGGGAGCCGTGTGCAACTAGTGTGACTGGACTGAGCGCGACTGGTATGAGTGGTTGAGGGGCGTGAATGCACTCACATGCTGCAGCGCATGCCATGGCCGGGCAGCTGCTGTGTGCCTCCAGATGTGCACGCCTGCGATCCAAGCTTTAGTGCCACCGCGCAGGAAAGCTCAGCCTCTGCGCATACACGGATGGGCATGGAATAGCAACTCATGCACCTGATGCACCTGATGCACCGGTCACAGTTGGGCTCGACTCACGGCAGCATGTAGCATGGCAGCTTGTGAGGGGTGTATAGAGGATGAGAGTTCATGAGAGATTGACCCCATGGCATGGCAGCGTGAAGCAGCCATGGCCACGGGGCCACTCCGAGCGCCCATCGGTCTCCACCCCCCTGCAGGGCAGCGCTGTAGGCGCCCTTCACTAAAAGCGCAGCCAGACGATTCAGCTGCGCTTTGAAGACATAAGGCGCCGTGCTGTGCACACAAGACATGCGGCAAACGCAGTCATCTAAGCAGGTGAAACACAGCCAACGCATTGCGGACGCGGCCCATTGAGGATCACGACAGCCCTCGCACCTCAACACGGCACAGATGTGCTTACCAATGATGATGACGTCATGAGGCCATGAGGGGCAAGGGACGGTGTCAGAAGGCATCGTGATGGCGACAGCCCTGCAATCACAAAGAAGCGGATAACTCTCGAGGCGAATGAGAAATGTGTCTGAGGCAACTCGAGGATGTTCCCAAGGCAGCGGCGATGCGAGTCACACCAACGACCCGCATCTCTGATGCTGCTTTGAGGGACCAATCAGACCAAATCTAAGAAAATAGAATCGGATCGGATCGACTGATGTGGGCATCCTGAACATAAGGCCTGGCAGGGAGACAACGCTGCTGCCACGCCTCGGAAAGAGTAATGCCGGGCAACCCAACCCCACCCCCACCCCCACCCCCACCCCCACCCCTACCTCCACTCCCACCTCTATCCCCACACGACACGGCACGACGCGACGCCACGCAGCATCTACGAGCGTCTGCTCAACAAAACGAGAAACCCACCAAACGACCAAGCTAAACGGACGCAGCGACAGCAGCTACCAGTGTTTCTCACCAGCTGGCTCCCGGGAGCTGAGGGGCGAGGCGATATGGGTGCAGCGCGCACCACCGCACGGAGAGCCATGCACGGCCCGCGCGGAGCGGTGCGCGGCGCTGCGCGCATGTGTCGCGCGTCAGCTGCCGTCCACCGGCCGTCGCTCGCTACCGCCTGCCGCGCGCAGGGGGAACGATGGGCGGAAAGGATGAGACACGGGCTGCGGCGTCAGAAGGAAAACTAGAAAGCAAGAGTGGATTCGAGATCACGGCTGCAACCAGCCGCAGAATGCGTGCGCGCAGGGCGGAAGCGGGGAATGTCCGCTAGCCCCATGACCGCCCTTCCCATGGGGGAAGGCGGAAAAGGGAGGGGACGCGGAGGGCCGATGTGGCGTCGGGTTACGGGGAGAGGGGCACGGGTGTCGGCCCCTCTCCTGAAAAGTCGACGCGGCGAGGATGGAAGGGGCAGCGCGAGCAGACAGGCGGAATGAGTTTTGAGTCGACTGCAAAGTCGGGTTACGGGGAGAGGAGCACGGGTGTGAAGCCCCCCTCCTGAAAAGCCGACACGGCGAGGACGGACGCAGCAGCGCGCGCAGACAGGCGGAATGCGGAAGAGCGCGAGGGAGAGGGGAGGCAGAGAATTGGAGGGGAGGGAAGGGGGAAGGAGAAGGAGGGGGGGGAGGGGGAGGGGGGGGGGGAGGGGAAGTGGGGAGGGGGAAGTGGGATGGGCTGGCGAGGGGCCAAGGGTTGGGATCAAGGACCAAGAGCGGCGAGGGTTGGGACGAGTTAACGAGCTAACGAGAGCGGTACCTGCGAGCTGCGACGCGACGCGCATGTCAACACTTGACGCCGGCTGTGAGTCGGCCGGTTAGTTCTGGCCGTCTGGTGATGGCCGACTAATGATGGCAGGCGAAGGAGCTGAAGCGAAGAGGAGCAGAATAGGGGAGAGGAGCAGCCAAGGGGAGGAGACAGGGGGTGGAGGAAGGTCCATCGGGGTGAGATGGGGCTTGCTCCCAAGTCAGAACAGCGGTAGCTCCATGACTAGGCGCAGTCTTTCATTTTTTTGAGTTCTCAAAAACGGCTGCACGGCATTGATCTGCGCTGTACCTCCCCCCGAGTAGCCCCCGCGCACGATAGCGCCCGCGTCTCCAAGGACGCGAGCGGCGAACGCGGAGAGCGCAAGCGGGGGAGGGGCCATACGCCAACACCAAGGCATGGGCGAGCGCGTCGGTGTGCGCACGGTTCAAATCCACGCTGGCACCGATGAATGGATGCCGCGTGGAAGAACATCCGTGCGCTGACGTGGCACAACATGCCAGCATGGCAAACCAATAGGATCTGGTAACTGGACGCCGCTGCTACTCCAAGGCATCACAAGGCGTGGCCTCACCTGTCATGGCACGACAGCGCAGTGACCAGGAGACGAAGGCAGACGCGACGCACGACCACAGAAAAGGGCGCTCGGAGAATCTGCAGTGGATTGGGCGGCGAGGAGAGCGAGAATTTCACGCGCTTAGACAGTATCGACGGAAGCTACAAACGGGGAAGGCTTGTGGCGCCGCCTACTTCCGAAAACTGACTCGGTATAAGCAGTTCCCTGCGTTCTGGTTTCGCTATGACGACCTCCGCATTGAGGCTGGCGCTACGGGAATCGACGCGCGGGGGGCGAGCATCGCGCGGCAGCGGGAACGCGGAGGAGGCCTCCGCCTTCCCCCTGTCGGGGCTCCGCCTACCACGCGTCACTGCGCCAGCCCAAGCAGGGAGGCGGCGGGCGCTTTACGCGCAGCGATGCGGCCGCCGCCTGACCAATCGAGCCGCGCCGACGTCGCACCCGAGGGTGCGACGCGGGAAGCTGCGAACGGCGGCACGAAATATCGCTGCGCGGACCACCGTTTGAAATACGCTGCACTGACACTGCTTGGCGATGTGCGAGGCAGCAAAGCGGTGAGAGCGAAAGCGGCGAGGTAATAACATATATAGAGACCCGTACAGACATTGGGCCTCGGAACGCCTAAAATGCGTGATAGCGAGCGAGTCCCGACCTAGTGACGAGATCGACACAGATTGAAGCACGACTCGTCCGTAGCACACCTTGCAAAACTTCATTGTCGGGCGTGGGAACGTGGTTGACGCCCGCGGCCCCCGCGCACGACCCCGCGGGTCCACAGCGATCTTCGCGAAAATTCCACGTGCCTCGCCATCGGCAGGCTATAAGTCTCCAAATCTCATCAGCGACAGACGCTACACGCCCGACGGAAACGAAGGCACGAGCGGCGACGCGCGTCGAAGCCGAATAGCTCCATTCGCACCAGAGGCGCAGGCAGACTGCGGGAGGATCAACACCCTCGGCTCAGCTGCTCCCTGCTGGCAGCGTGAAAAACGGGCTTCGGCCCGCCATCCGCGCGAGGGAAGTCCTCGAGAGAAGCAGTACCGGCTGTGGTTGGGACAGGATTATGGCGTGAAGTAGGCGTTCTGCGGAGTCGTCGAGGTAACTCGGTGGGCAACAAGCAGCAGGGTGAGGAGAACCCAGCAAGTGGTGTGGCTAACCACCAACGACAGATACGCGATATAGAATAGAGCGGTTGAGGAAGTGCTGTGGATGCAGAACTGCTATCTACCGTATAAAACGCAGGAAGACTCGAAGAGATGTTTGTAGAAAGCGCTCAAAAGGTGTTTATGTACATGGAAAGAAACAAGCGCGTCCTCATATTTACAGATATAGCAGCAAACAACTCCGAGGTGCGACAACATTGATAGAACAATGCACGACACTGTATAGCATCAATCACATTTGGAACGACATGCCCTATGCCTTTCTTCTTTCCTCTATTCTTCAACTTCAGCCATCCCTGCTTTCCCCTTCCTCCCCTTGCTTTCTCCCTCACCTTCTCCCTCCTCCCCCTCCTCCTCCCCCTCCTCCCGATCCCCCTCCACCTGCCACATCATCCAGCTCAGCATCCCTGCTGGCACCGCTATCAATGACATCATCAGTGACATCATTTCTTCCATCAGCATCTGCGGCTGACGTGGCAGCAGGATGGCCGTCAGCAGCAGGGGGTGGGAGAGCGGCAGCAGCTGAAGTGACGGCCGAATCCACAGCAGCGAGCGCTGGGAGATCACGGCACAGGGAGGAGGGTGGACACATCGCAGGTGAACAGCTGCCATGCGCTGTCGAGAACAGCCAGCCACCAACACCATCGACCACCACCAAATCAACCACCATCCCCGTCGAGTGATGTCGTTCGTTATCAGTGCCTAACACCCAGCAGCATCTACCACCAGCTCTCAATCTCCCTACTTGAACTCACAGGTATCGCCCATGCCCCGCGGCTGGTACCTTCCCCGTAGCACCTGCTCGGCGCCTGGTCCAGTAATCCCTGGTCCAGCAGCAAATGCCCCAGTACCTGCAGCAGAAACACCTGCCCTAGTAGAACTAGCTGCAGCAGCACCTGCCCCGGAACCACCTGCCCCGGAACCACCTGCCCCGGTACCACCTGCCCCAGTTATACCTGCCCGGGTTGCAGACTGTGCCATGCGCGCTGCAGCTGCGAGCTCCTCCTGGTGGGCGTGGAACCACGAGGCCTGCAGGGAAGGGGGAGGAGGAGGGGGGTCGGGAGTCAGAGCCCCATTCTGGCGGTCAGAGCCCCATTCTGGCGGTCAGAGCCCCATTCTGGCGGTCAGAGCCCCCATTCTGGTGGTCAGGGACAAGGGAGGCGGTGGCGCAGGTGGGAGGCAGGGCGGGCAGGGTGAGGGGACAAGGAGAGCAAGTGGAAGGTGGGATTGAGGGGACGAGGGGGGTGAGGGGACGAGGGGGGTGAGGGGACGAGGGGGGCGGGAGGAACCACGAGGAGCGCCATGTGAGAGCAATGCGAGGGGGGAACGGGGCACGCACGCGTACTCCATGCAAGTTAGTGAGCTGAGCTCTGCTCACCATGCACCGGTCTATCCTCATGAGCCAAGTATCGATGTGCCGCCGGTAGCGCAGCAGCAACGGCCTCAAGTGGCTTGCGTACAGGCGACCTGCCCCCTGCGGTGTGGGGTGGTGTCGTGTGGTGTAGTGTGGTGTAACAAACACCAAGAAGATAAGGTGATGGTATATAAGGTTGGTCTGATGATATGGAGGAGGTGGAGGGCAGGTTTCAAGGGAATAGAGGAAGCAGGAAGGCAGGCAGTGCAGGGAGAGGAGGAAGGCACAACAGAGTACCGTGGCTGGACGGGAGGAGGAGGTGGAGGGCAGCTGCAGCCAGAGGAGGAAGAGCAGCTTCACGTGCTGGTAGAAGGGCAGCCTGGGGGAGAGAGCGCGGGGGAAGGGGGGGGGGAGCATGAAGAGTCTTATTAGTGGATGACGAGGAAGAAGTGGAGTGGAGGTTGACATGGTCATGGTGATGGAAAGGAAGGTTGAGGGGAGGAGGGAGATATCGAGGGGCGGAAGAACGGCATGATATGATATGTTCTTACTTGTGTGTTCAGCAGCGGAGGACGTGGATGCAGCATGAAAGGCGCAGAGGAACACGACGGAAATGAGGAAGGGAAAGAGAAGACGCACGAGAGAAGGGGAGAGAAGACGCACGAGAGAAGGGGAGAGAAGAGCGCGACATAAATGAATGGGCAATGCTATGAACCATGAGAGCATTAATAACTGTCAATAATACGAGAGCATTAATCACCATGAGGATGCACAGTCACTCACCACGATATGATCTTATCCGTGATTGTCTCCACAACTCGGAAGCAACCGTACACTGCCATCCATGCCATCCATGCCATCCATGCCATCCATGCCATCCATGCCATGTGACAGGTGTGTGGAGTTTGCACAGAGAGAGGGTGAGGTGGCAGTGCACGGCATGGAGCAGCATGGCACAACATGATATGTCCATGGGACCGCGCCATATCAGCACAAGAACCAACGCCGTGGGACAGCAGGCAAGTGAACGAGAAGACAACGTGACCATGCTTCCTCGCCTCACCCGACCAGCACGCTCACCCGACCAGCACGCTCACCCGACCAGTATGCGAGGCATCTGTTCCTATCCGCCTGAGAGCCCTCCTCAATGGCCTTGAAGGAGCGGAAGACAGGGAAGCCCACGCCCACCACCAGACTGGATGCGCGCAGGCCATTCCGTGCAATAGGGAGAGAGGTTGGGCGGGGAGAAGGGGGGGAGGTGGGGGGAACGGGGGGGTGAGTTGGAAGAAACGGGAGAGACAAAGGGGAGCACAGGAAGAAGGGGGGGGGTGGGGGGAAGGGAAGCACGACAAGGCGTGGGTGGGCCTGAAAGCATGGGTGGGCCTGAGAGCCCTCCTCCATGGCCTTGAAGGAACACAAGACAGGGAATCCCACTCCCACCACCAGACTGGGGGGAGAAGGGGGGGGGGAGGAGGAGGAGAGGGTAACGGAGTGAGGAGACGAGGGAAGGACAAGGCATCGGTGGGCCTGAGAGCCCTCCTCCATGGCCTTGAATGAGTGCAAGACAGGGAAGCCCACGCCCACCACCAGACTGGGGGGAAGAAAATGAGGGTGAACGGAACGCAAGGAGTGCACATTTAGTTAAGGGAGTGAACCAGGAGCAGAGGAGGGGGGAAGCGGGCAGAGAGAGGATCGGAAGGAATGGCGGCTCAAGTGGCGATGGATGATGAGGAAAGGAAGGGGGGAGGGGAGGGGAGGGGGGGGGGAGCAGAGAAGATCCGGAGGATAGGATGGGACTGTGGTGTGTAAGGGGATCGTACTTGGCGGCTCGGATGACGATGGATGATGAGCTGGCAGCCAGAAGAATCTGAAGGCCCACCTGCGAGAGGGGAAGAGGAGAGAGGAAAGTGATTGATAGGAAGGGGGAGAGGTGAGGAGACAAGAAGGGCGGACGGGAAGGAAGGGCAGGGGAGGGCCGTGCTCGGCGGCTCGAATGACGATGGATGATGAGCTGGCAGCCAGAAGAAACTGAAGGCCCACCTGCGAGAAGAGTGGATGAGGGGAGGGGGGATGGGAGACGAGGGAGAAATGAAAGATGGACTTCAGGAGACAGTGAGGGGAACAGAAGCGAAAGTTGGGAGGAAACAGGAGCAAGGAAGAGAGAGGAGATAAGCGGGATAAGGCGAGAGGACCCCCGCCTCTCGCACGAGCGAGGGCCTATCCTGTGACGCCCATCGCCATATCCCTGATACCTTCTCCCCCCCCTCGAGCCTGTCCGTGAGTCTTACCCCCCCTCCTTGCAGCGGTACCCCCGAGCTGAACAGGGCCATTGGCGCGCTGCTAGCCTCGGAAATCGGTGCTGCTGGCAGTCGGGAGTCACGGCCACCCGTTCACGAATTCTCCCGCGCTGCGGATCCACCCGTAAGCAGCTTAGTACAAGCCGGGCCTCGGAAAATATGGTGATAAGAACGGCGTGCCAGCGTTCGTTGCGGCTGGAGCAGTCTGCGAGGAAGCAGACCGAAGACCGCCAGAGACCCAGGCTTCGGGCGACGAGACGATGCCCCACTAAAAGATGCCCCACTAAAAGATGCCTCACTAAGGTCAAGGGTCGCTGAGTATGACGCTTCCCGGCTTAGCTGACACTTCTGATGGCTGGCGCGATAGCAGACGAGCGAGCTCCGCTAAAAAACTACATTCGGAAACTACCTCTTACATGAAACGAAGTGCATGGAGGATTTGCCTGAGGGTGACCCTAAGAGCCTCCTAGCGTCAGGCACAAGGAAGGAAGTGCTGGTGGGGCTGCAGGCAGCACAAGGGAACTGCTGGCTTTCCCGCGCATTCTGACCGTTGGAGTCAAACATCTGCGCTACAAGCATTACAAAAGGATTGGGACTCAACATTTCGCGCGTGTATTCTGAGATTCATGAACATGGTATCTGATTTAGAATTAATAAAAGAGCATAGAGGCCATATTGAACCTATAAATATGCTAGTAAAACAATCCAATGAGTGCACCTTTCATATGTGTGCATTGTTATTGCTTCTTTTTTGGGTGAAAGTTGCGTTATTCCAAGCATGTGAGAGCATGCATGCTTGAGCCACCCAAGCACAAGGCTGTAGCCACATTCTCAACTCCTCTCCAAAGCCCCCTCCCATGCTCCTCTCCCAGGCCAACCTGTCCTCCCCGGCACCTCATGCAGCATCCACATCGTAGTTCCTCCCTGCATCTTTCTCCCCTTGCATGTCCCTCCCTGCGTGTCTCCCAGTCTCCCTGCTGCTCCTCGCAGTCGGGCATTATCTGTCTGCCCTCCTCAAATGGTCACCCTCACACCTAAATTCACACCACCCATCGCTTCAGGCCCCTCACACCGCCTGCCCCTGCCACTCCTCACATTGCTCCACCTACCACCACCACTCCCTCCCTCCCCTCTTTTCCCCCACTTCCCCCCATCCCTCCTGCACCCACAGCGCAGCCCCAGCATCATCTCGTTAGCCCCCTCGCACCGACCACTCTCTTCACTCTCCCTCCCCCCACTCCCCCCCGCCCGTCCTGCAGCCATAGCAGCCCCAGCATCATCTCATTCCACGCATCCGGCACGCCGGGCAGGCAATAGTGCCCGCAGTCGATGTTGCTTCCCCCGGTGTTCGTCCCGGGATGCCCGTCCCACCGCGTTAACGACATCCCGAATGTGTCCAGCAGCAGCAAAGGCGCTCCGTGCCCGCGCTTCGCCCGCTGCGCCTCGTACCGCCGCGCCACGTCAGCAAGGAGGACGTTGTACTTGGCTTCGGGGTAGTCCTTAGCGCGCGCTTCCTCCTCGGTTACCGGCTGCGTGGCGGAGCAGCTGCCGTGGAACCCGTGCGTGGGCGGCACGAGCGCCAGAACCACCTGCTTGCCGGTACTGTTAACGGCCGTGAAGGGGCGGAGGACGGAGAAGAGCGCCGTCTGGTACGCTTCGAAGAGCGGCGCGTCGGCGTGCGGCGCCGCGAAGTGCATGTTCTTGCCTTGGATGCGCTGCGTCGACCACCACTGGCCCGCGCTTATAACGAACGTGTCGTGCTCGTTATAGTGACTGAACCACCAGGCGTCGGGGCTCTCTAGGTCGAGCTCGCCGCCCGTGTTGAACACGTGCTCGTCGATCAGGGTGAGGTTGACCAGGTAATGGCTCCAATAGAACGCCACCGTGGCGTTACAACTCGCCCAGTGGTACACTTGCGCGTACGGATGGCTCCCCAGCACCTCGGGCTCGCCTTGCGTGCCGTACATGATACACGCGAGCGAGTTGAAATGGTTGCGTACGATCGAATCCCCCACGTACGCGACGTTCCTATTTCGCATCAGCTCACACGCGCTCGTCGCCGTCAGTCGCGGCATCGCGTCGCAGCCGCCCGGCGCCGTCGCGCTGTCGCCAGCCGTCGCATTGTCGCCTGTCGGTCGCCACCGCAGATTCTGGTACCGTGTATCCACCCGCCCGTGCGCCTCGCACTGCGTCGCACGGTGAATAAACGGGCATTCGCTGGAATAAAGCGGCCGGTTATCATTTGCCTCCCACATCCCGTCGCTGATGTCGCATTTCGTCGCCACGTAGCCGGCCTGCCCCGATGTCGCGCCGGCTGCATTGTCGCTCGCCTCCGCGGCGGCGAGCGCGGAGATATCGAGGGCGGGGGAATTGGAAGACGCTCTGGACTCGGCGGAAGCGCTGGCGGAAGCGGCGGCAGGGGGATGGGGGGAAGTCGTGGCGACAGTACTTGGCGACACACCACTATCGGCACCCACGCTGCGACTGCTGGCGACGGCGCTGCGACCGTCGGCGTGCATGCCGTCCTCCATGTATATTTCGATCGCGCCGATGGCGGCTTCAGGCTGCTCGATTATGATGGTGCCCGACATGAGCGTCTCCTCCTCGCGCACGCCGATTTCGTGCAGTTCTCTTCTGCGTGCCGCGGTGGCGTGACGTGGATCTGCGGGTCGCGGAGCTGGCATCCCTCCCAGCTTCCTGCCACGTGGACTGACGGTGGATGGTCGCGCTATTGTGAAACTGGCAGCTTGTCCTTGAAGGGTGATAGAGATGGCGGCGAGCAGAGTTACGATAAGAGCCTCGTACAGTTTCATGTGGTTCGAAATGGCTTGCCGTCTAACAGTGGGCATCGTGAGCGTGCCGCTCGATCCGCGCACCAAATTCTGTGATAGAATGAATGCGATGCACTACGACGACAGTTAGAACGACTGGATAAACTTCGGAGGATGAGGTCTGAGCTCGCGCTTCCCGAGGATGACAGAGAGAGCTTGGAACGGAACGATCAACACGGGGAACAAGCCGTCGCGTAAATAGAACAGAAGCACGGCGAACGAGTGTTGCGAGGGTAGAGCAGAGAGGCTTGGTTATGGCTTTCTCGCGCCAGCCTGCGCCACTCCCATCCCACACCATCTCTCATGTAGGGGCGAAATTGTTGTGATTTGCCCTCACACGGCTGGTTGGCTCGCGAGAGTGGCGACAGTCGACGAAACATTCACGTGATGCTTCTTGATTCGTTGTGAGGCGGCCTTCAGGCATCATAGGCAGGGATTCCAACGAACCGAACCTGTTACCAGCTGTCACCGGCAGCTCATCCCCCATTCCCCTGCCGCATCCACCTCGAATCGCCTCGAGTGGCGACAGTGGCGAAATACACCTGCAGTGGCGAACAACCTGAGGCCAGGTGAACCACAGCTGTGCGTGTTGGCGGAGTGTGGACAGGCTCGGAAAGAGGCGAATCGGGCCTAGCATGTTTCGTTAGTAAGAGACTCAAACCCTGCATTCAACAGCATGTACACCATTCACGTACTTCACTGGCCTCGAGTGGTTTCTCCATGTAAAAAGTTATCATTTACATACAACTAAATAAAACCTGATTACAAGATTGCTATTGCCTTTTTAGGGTGCATACACATGATATTACGCACTTATGATTTGGGTCTCCTTTCGCTTGCACCCCCCTTTATGGAGGCTGCTAAAACGCTGTCCGTTGGTTGGTCCACATTCTCCCTAGAGCCTTCTTCCAATAACCAGCTTTCCTTCCGTACCTACTCCTGCCGCGCCTCCTCCAACACCCATAGGCGTTGAAGCATCATCTCATTCCACGCATCAGGCACTCCGGGCAGGCAGAAATGTCCGCAGTCCCTCACTCCATTGGGAAGGAGCGCCCACTTGCCAGGATGCCCATCCCCCCGGAACAGGGATGGCCGGGCCTGATCCAGCAGCACAACCTGTGCCCCTCTCACTCTACCCTCCGCCACCTCCCTCGCATGCATCCTCAATACAAGCCTCCTCATCACCCCATTCAGAACCTCCATCTTCATGCAATTCCCCCTGCCCTTATAGTCAAGAAACTCTGTGGCACTCATTGGGGCAGTATCAGTGCACCCACTCTTAAAGCCCTGACCCGTGAAGTGAGGAGCTGGATTGGTAGCTATAACTAGCACCTTGCCGCGCATGTGATCGCTCTTGAAAAGATTCAAAGCCATTTCCCACGCCTTCTGGAACCCCTCTGTCAGAGGAAGCGCCTGGTTGGGCGGTGCAAAACGGAAGCCAGCGCTGTGGATCTTATGTTCGCTCCACCAATGACCTGCAGACACGTGGCAGAGGTGCTTGTAAAGGTGCTTAGGTTTGCGTCAGCAGCGGCTAGAAGCTGGAATTTAACTGAACTCGCGCACAGGAGAAACTCCGCACCTGTGTTCAGAACGAAGACATCGTGTTGGTCCAGTCGGCTCAGCCACCCAGTTTCCGGCTCACCCAGGTCCAATTCACCGCCGCCATTCGGCTTGGTGGAATCGTCGAGTGTCAAATTCACCATGAAGCTCGTCCGGTAGAAGGCGAGGGTGAAATTACAAGTCGCCCAAACAGCCCCTCGCTCCAGCTTGCGGGAATCTGTCATCTGTAGCCCAGGCAGATTCTCCGGCATTCCGTAGAATCCGTGCATGAGGCACGCGAGCGACTCGAACGCGTTGCGTACGATGGAGTCGCCTACGAACGCCATGCTCTTGCCCGCAACGAGGCTGCAGAGCGTGTCTCTACTCAGCGAGGGAAGCGGGCACCCGGGCGTCGCCCATCGAAGCCGCTCGAAGAAGCGATCCGGCCGGCCGTGTTTGACGCAATTTTGGTTATGGTAGACGAACGGACACGTGCCGCTCTCGTACAGCGGCCACGTGGCATCCACCTGCCACGAGCCGCGTTCCATCGAGCAGCTCGTCCGCTCCTTGAGATTGCCACGCCGCGACGCCCCCTTCTGCTGCCGTTGTAACAGCTGCTGCTTCGCGACAGGCGAAACGTCGGTTACCAGGTCGGAATCGAGCGGAAGGAGGCTGCTTCCCTCGCCCTCCGTCGAGGCGCCTGAGAGAATCGCGGCACCTACGGTGGCAGATTTGGCGGCGCCTCCGACCAGCATGCCATCGTCGACGAAGAGCGCCGCGCGACCCGCGACGTTGCCGCCAACGCCCGGCTCTACCGATTCCGCGACTCCATCTAGACGCCGCCTTGCGACGGGGACGCCATCAGAGGACTCGGAGAGAATCGTCGCGCGGTCCTGAGTGGATGAGCCACTACGAACTTCAAAGAGAGACACGAGGGATGCGGATGATGCTACTACGGTGATTGTAACTAGCGGAAAGAGGAGCAGAAGCAGCAGAAGTAGTATTTGTGGACGAGGCATATCGGGGGCCATGACATTTATCGGCGCTAAGACGATTGCGCTAAGGTCCCTACTACTTTGCAACCTGCAATCTCTGGCGAAGACTCTGATGTAGGACGGTTATCGCTACTTCATTGGAAAAGCGCCTCATTCTGGAGTTTAGGATCGGGAATGACGGCTCCAGGCCAATACTCACGAGATTACGAGTGTAGCAAGGGGCGTGAAGCCTCAGCTCTCAAACGAACATCACACACAAGTTTCACTGCTCTGTACTCGCATTTCTCTAACCAAAATTAATCTGAACCGTCTTGAAACCTACTGTAACACTCAGGACCGTTCGAACACCACTTTTTCGAGAGCGCTAACACGAACTGACACCTTCGCTGCCTTGAAGGTTAACTCCCGCCAAAGTCCCCCCACGCGGAAGCACCTCTTGCGCTTCACAGCGGGTTTTCCGCGAGTCGAGAGCGGAGCGGAGAGGACTCAGGTCATAACAGCGGGGGCTGTGACTAACAGGGTACAGTAGTCACTCTACCAGTCAAGGGTGCAGTAGCAGTTTCATTGCCTACGCGGTGCTGTGGGAGCAGTACACCTCACACCTTACGGTTGCTTGGCTCTCTACCTTAGGCGTGGCAAAGGAAAGCTTACTGCGGTAAGTGTTGTGCGAAAGGGCAGATTTTTAGGAGTTCGGTCGCTAAAGGGAAAGTTTCTGTAGATGCCGTCCGCTGGGGTAATTATGGGGGCGATCCATTTGCGCTTTCACAGCAGAGCTTTCCGCGAGCTGCGGGAACAGTGATGCTCAGCTCAGATCAGAGCGCACAGATGGTTTGACCACTCGGTCGGAATCGAGTTGAACGAGATTTCGGAGAAAATCTCGCGAATTCCGGCCTGCGCCGAAACTTGGAATTAAAACCGCACGGGTTGAATTCAATCGCGCATCGCGCATCGCGCCCCGCTCTCCGGAATCCGATCTCCAATTACCCGCGATCCGCTTTTCATGAAGGTTTCGTATAAAATAGCATATATACACGGGTATGGTCACAGTTTCCCTTTCTCTTTCAAAACTCGAAATTCTCAGACAGCTGCAGCTTACATGCGCCCCCTCAGGTTCGAGGAAACGATGACTATCTACCCATATCCAAAACAAACTGACACGAAAGTACCCGAATTTTCTGCGCCAATGAGAGACGAGACTCTTGCGCATGCGCAGTAAACTGTTTCGGACTGACGTGTAGAGTTGTGCATTCGCGACAAGAACCTCCCAGCAATATTTGTTGCGCGGCAATTCAACAGAAAATGCATGACTAGAGAAGGACATTTTGGGCAGCGTTTTGGGCAAATAAATAGAACCCATAGGGGCCCGAGATGTCATTCGAGATGGCATCAACCCTAAATTCGCGGCCCTTTTTCGAGTTTAGGGTTGATGCCACCCCGAGTCACATGCTGGGCCCCTCTGGGTTTATTATTTTGTCGGCTGCACAAAAATACTGTACGTATCGCCAAATATGTGGCTGACTGTGTCAGGTTTGGGCGATTCTGCAGCAGATCGCTAATTCGAGGATTCGGCTGTATTTATTTTTTATACACTTTGATTTGGGTGTAAGTACGTCATTTACTCGTAGTTTTCTGGGAGTACTGTAGCAGCGACCATTCCCGTCAATTTCGCCACGCAATGCGCGATCTAAACTTTCGCCCACTGCGTGGCGAAATTGACGGGAATGGGTGCGGCTACAGTGCTCCTTGTACCTGACGAGGCGCATGTAGGCTGCAACTGCCTGAAAATTTCGAGTTTTCAATTAGAAAGTGGAACTGTGACAATACCCGTGTATTTACCTTATATTTTACGAAACCTTTATAAAAAGCGGAGCGCAGGTAATTGGAGATCGGATTCCGATGTGCGGGGCGCGATGCGCGGTTGAATTCAACCCATGCGTCTGTATTCCAGGTTTCGGCGCGGGCCGGGATTCGCGAGATTTTCTCGAGATTTCGGCACGTGTTCTTGGCGTGCGCTAGTGTGCCAGCCGGCTATGGCTCGAGTCCCTCGCGACGTGCCACAAAGGACAGTGGTGCAAAAAGGCACCCTCTTACCGAAACTCGTTAATATTACTGTTGCTTCGGTGTCATACGCGCTCAAGTAACAGATTCCGTAGTTTCAAACCTGCTCTTCAAAATGGGGCATGAAAACATGTATAATTGCACGATTTGAGAGGCATGGAATAGCCATGATCGGACGAATCCCTCCACGGTTATATGCCTTTTACCCTTCCCGTGTATACGGTGAATAAACCATACACTTGGTGATCCACTATTCACCCGTTTCCAACAGACACCCACCCTTCCCTACTCCAGCTGCCCCTCCCTCAATAACCACAGCCGCTGAGAAGCATCATCTCATTCCACGAATCGGGCACTCCGGGCAGGCAATAGTGTCCGCAGTCTTGCTTCCCACTGGGCAGCAGCGCCCACTTGCCCGGATGCCCATCGCTTCTAACCATGGTTGGCCGAGCCTGATCCAGCAACATCACATGCGCCCCTCCCAATCTCCCTTCAGCCCTCTCCCGCCCATGCATCCTCGCTACAAGCCTCCTCATCACCCCATTAAGACCAGTTCCTCCTCATCTTCAGGCAGTTTCCTTTACCCTTAAAACCAGGAATCCAGAGGCGCTCATAGGAACAGTATCGGGGCATTCCCGTGTAAAGCCCTCTCCCATGAAATGAGCCGCTGCATTGGTAGACACAACCAGCACCTTGCCCTGCATTCTTTCCCTCTTAAAGATGCCGAGGGTCATCTCCCACGCCTTCTCAAACCCCTCTACCACGGATAGTCCCTCGTGCGGCGGAGCAAAACGGAAGCCCAAGCCTTGGAGCTTATTTTCGTTCCACCAACGACCTGCAGACACGTGGAAGCAAACACGACACATGGGTAGGTGTCGCAGGTGAGTGTAACATTCAGCTCAACGATCCAAAATACATCGATATGAATCACATGTGCTTGCAAATGTACCAGCAGTGAAAAAAATCACGCTTACATGGGAATTGTCTCACCTGTGCTACATGGCCAGAAGCCATGTCTACAAGGGAAGTGTCTCACCTGTGTTTATAACGAATATATCATGCTGCTGCAATCGCCGCCGCCAGATCGATTCCGGCTTGCTCAAGTCCATCACGCCGCCGCCATTGGGCTTGTGGGGGTCGTCCAGCGTCATATCCACCAGGAAGTTTGTCCGATAGAACGACAGGGTGACATTACACGCCGCCCACACGGCCGTTCTTGACACAGTTCTGGTTTGGGTAGATGAACGGACTAGTGGCGTCGTGCAGCGGCCACGTGCCATCCACCTGCCACGAGCCGCGGTCCATAGAGCAGCTCGTGCGCTCCTAGGGATTGCCGCCGCTGCGATGTGACGCCCGCTGCTGCTGCCGCCGTTGTAACACCTGCTGCTTCGTGACGGATGAAACGGTGGTAACCAGGTTGACATCTAGCGGAAGGAGGCTGCTTTCCTCCAAAGGTGAGTCACCCTCCGCCGAGGTGCCTGAGAGCATCGCGGCACCAACGGCGGCATCTCTGGCGGCGCCGCCGACCACCATGCCATCCTTGACGCTGCCACCCGAGCACCGCGCGACCCGCGGCGCTGCCAACACTTGGCTCGACCGATTCCGCAGGTGATGGGTGATGATGGGTGATGACGGGTGATGATGGGTGATGATGGGTGATGATGGGTGATGATGGGTGATGATGGGTGATGATGGATGATGGTGGATGATGGGTGATGATGGATGATGATGGGTGATGCTGGGTGGTGGGTGATGATGGGTGATGATGGGTGATGATGGTTGATGATGGGTGATGGGTGAAGGATGATGATGGGCAATGACGGGTGATGATGGGTGAAGGATGATGATGGGTGATGATGGGTGGTGATGGGTGATGATGGGTGATGATGGATGATGATGGGTGATGATAGATGATGATGGGTGATTATGGGTGATGATGGGTGATGGGTGATGATGGGTGGTGGGTGATGATGGGTGATGGGTGATGATGGGTGCTGATGGGTGATGATGGGTGATGATGGGTGATGATGGGTGATGATGGGTGATGATGGGTGATGATGGATGATGATGGGTGATGGGTGATGATGGGTGATGGGTGATGATGGGTGGTGGGTGATGATGGGTGATGGGCGATGATGGGTGATGATGGGTGATGATGGGTGATGATGGGTGATGATGGGTGATGATGGGTGATGATGGGTGATGATGGGTGATGATGGGTGATGATGGATGATGATGGGTGATGATGGGTGATGGGTGATGATGGGTGATGGGTGATGATGGGTGATGGGTGATGATGGGTGATGATGGGTGATGATGGGTGATGGGTGATGATGGGTGGTGGGTGATGATGGGTGATGATGGGTGATGATGGGTGATGGGTGATGATGGGTGATGATGGGTGGTGGGTGATGATGGGTGATGATGGGTGATGATGGGTGATGGGTGATGATGGGTGATGATGGGTGATGATGGGTGATGATGGATGATGATGGGTGATGATGGGTGATGATGGGTGATGATGGGTGATGGGTGATGATGGGTGATGGGTGATGATGGGTGATGGGTGATGATGTGTGATGGGTGATGATGGGTGATGATGGGTGATGGGTGATGATGGGTGATGGGTGATGATGGGTGATGATGGGCGATGATGGGTGATGATGGGTGATGATGGGTGAAGGATGATGATGGATGATTATGGGTGATGATGGGTGGTGATGGGTGATGATGGGTGATGATGGGTGATGATGGGTGATGATGGGTGATGGGTGATGATGGGTGATGATGGTTAATGATGGGTGATGATGGGTGATGCTGGGTGATGATGGATGATGATGGGTGATGATGGGTGGTGGGTGATGATGGGTGATGATGGGTGATGATGGGTGATGATGGGTGATGATGTATGATGATGGGTGATAATGGATGATGATGGGTGATGATGGGTGATGATGGGTGATGATGGGTGACGATGGGTGATGCTGGGTGATGCTGGGTGATGATGTATGATGATGGGTGATGATGGATGATGATGGGTGATGGGTGATGATGGGTGATGATGGGTGATGATGGGTGATAATGGGTGATGATGGATGATGATGGGTGATGGGTGATGATGGGTGATGATGGGTGATGATGGGTGAT